GAGAATATCAGTGTAATTATCAGCAAACTGCCATAGAGCTCTTGGCAGGGCATTTTCCAGCAAAATTTACACAATATAATTGGTTTAATCAGGCCTGCAAAACTCATAACCACATATGGCCACTCAACAGGTAAACAGGATTTACCTCTGATTTATACAGAAAATTAGGTGTGCATTTTTTAAAATTCTTAAAGATTCACAGCACAACTGGCACATTAAAATTCAGTGAAAACTTCTTTTGAAATATCTAAAAATTAAAATAACAAAACGTGTGTGTGTGTGTGTTCAGAATTCAAATAGAATTTCAAATTCAGAAAGGAACTTGGCTCTCTGAAATCATAACCTTCCAGCACCCAGGGGTAGGCACCTCCCTCACTTGGTCCTATTTACCCACCATCACCTTGCGGGTGAATGTCAAGGGACAGCTAAAGGGGTAATTATTTTGAATACACAGGCAATAACTTTTAGGAATACATCCTATATTTATAATCAAACAAACCCTAAATCACCAATTAAGATCAAAGTGCTTTCTGCACTTAATTTGTTGAGTCCAGCACTTTTAAAATTTCAGTCAAACACACACACACACACTCACACCCACACCCAAGATGGAAGCACATTTAAACTCAAAAGTTTCTTTGCAAGGGGTGGAGAGAACACCTCAGACCACCTCACAGAAAAGTCAACCCAAGGCACTTTTAGGTCAATGGCTCGGGAGACAGGCCTTTTCTATTCAGAAAGAAATCACTGCCTCAAAAAAACCTACTTAATTAAAAATGATTTGGAATGTATGTGGGAAATTCAAAAAGCTTGTGGAAAAATTGCAAAGATGTTTATTTTGGTGCAACAATGGAAGTCCATGTCTATTTTCATAGTACACGTTTCCCACCAACTTTTTGAAGACCTCTCAGGTGCATGGATTTCAATTTTTCTTGCACCCAAATAAACTTTTCTTTTAATCCCACCTTTGATTCAAAGGAATGTTCTTCCCCTTCGGTCCTATCATTTGCTGCTGAGGAAGCCAAGCCTGAGCCAGGCGGGGACCCAGGGGCATCTGGCTCCCAATCTCCCCTCTCCCATCCCCCACGCACAGCCCTAGCACTGTCCTTCGGCTACACATGCCATTGCTTCAGTTGGAGATGTTCTTCTGTTGGAGATGTCCATAGATGGACACTTCTAGCCCAGGAGTGGCTCCTGCAGACAGCAGCTTTGTCAAGGAAAGCAGCAGGCAGCCCTAGGCCATCGGGAGGGCTCACTGTCCATCTGCATTTAAAAGGCACTTTCCAGGGAGATGCCTGGAGTCTTTACTAACCACAGCACTGTCCCAGCCGCTAACAGAAGCAGTTTACCTCCCTGGGATAGCAGCTGCTGTGTAAGACTGCCACCTGTCCTACTTTTGGTTTGAGTCGACTTTCAGCTGAGTGTTTTGCGAAACAAGCATCACCAAAGGGGAGAGAGAGCAGAAACCATTTTCCTTGGTTTCCCTCTTCACAGCTACAAAGAAAATCGAATAGAATTTTTTTTTAAAAAATAAGTAACTGATAGTTCCAATCTATTCCACACTTCAAAAGTCAAAACATATGCTTGCAGAGAGAGGCACAGAAGATGTTTTGACGGAGCTTGATGCCTTTTTTGGAATAAGCCAATTATAGGTTACTGAGAAGATAACTCCTTGGCAAGATGGACCCATCAATGCTGCTGAAACTGCATTTCCTTTTTCTTAAGAATGTAGAAGACTTCACAGCAAAAGTAGGGAACAATGAAGTCTTAACAATTTTCAAGTTAGTTCTTACTATCGTGTTTAGGAAGAGAACGTACTCAGGAAAGTCAACCCCTTCAGGAGCTCTCGACACAAGCTTTCCCAGAACCTGACTAAAATGGACTCTTCTTTCCTCTAACTAGGAGATGAGAGGAAACAAAAAGTAAAGAACAAAGGCACTTGGTTTCTTCCTCAGAAACTCTGATTAGGCTGCCCCAGTGGGAAAGGAACCTGCAGCTGGGTGTCAGTGGGGTCCTCCCCCTTGCTGAGACCCCCCACACAGAAGGGCAGCCTGTGGGCCACAGGCCAGGACACAGCCAGGGGAAGCTTTGGTGAAAGGTGCTCAAAGATAAGACTTGAGAGCAGACCTACACCCTAAAGGGATGATCTGGTTGGCTTGGATAACTACTACTACATATGATTAAAACCTACACAAAGAGAAAAAGCTCAAAAGCAAATCAGAATTTAAAGCCTGAACATTCGCAATGGGACTCAATTCTCAAGTCTGCAAGAGTCTTATCAACACTTCCCAAGCGTGAGCAAGCAGGCACTGGGTTCTGCCTGGCACCAGACCCTGGGTGGTGAAGCAACTCCGACGGAACCAGCAGTCCCAGCGCACACCTATACAAGCCTCTGCATCACAGCAGAGCCCCCTGGCACGCAGCACTTCTCAGAGTCAAGAAGGCACTGCCGGGCAGTGGGCGGAGCCATCCAACAAGCTGTGTGAAAGGCACCAGGCACAGTCCCTGTCCATTAGCAGGGAGATCGCTCTGACCCCAACCCAGTGTCCTACAGAACCTCCTAGGGAAGAATTCATTCTTCTGGATGGCAAGGGTGGATTGGGTGGAGGGAGGCGAAAGCATCCAGGTGATGACTGCCAGTGGAAACCATGTCCATGAAGGAGACCAGGGCTGCTCTGTTAGCAGCTTACTGAGTGATGGCCTGTGTGTCCACCTATCGTCCAGGTGGGCCACAGTTACATTCAGAATGATGGGAAAGAACTGCAGCTCTCCTGCAATTTACTTTTGTTTTTGAAAGTACTACATGAAGCCGGCGCCGTAGCTCAATAGGCTAATCCTCCACCTTGCGGCGCCGGCACACCGGGTTCTAGTCCCGGTCGGGGTGCCGGATTCTGTCCCGGTTGCCCCTCTTCCAGGCCAGCTCTCTGCTATGGCCAGGGAGTGCAGTGGAGGATGGCCCAGGTGCTTGGGCCATGCACCCCATGGGAGACCAGGAAAAGCACCTGGATCCTGGCTCCTGCCATCGGATCAGCACGGTGCGCCGGCTGCAGCGGCGGCCATTGGAGGGTGAACCAACAGCAAAAGGAAGACCTTTCTCTCTCTGTCTCTCTCTCTCACTGTCCACTCTGCCTGTCAAAAAAAAAAAAAAAAAAAAAAAAAAAGAAAGTACTACATGAAACAAAATTGGGGAATTACATCCCTCTCATTTTTTCCTTACAAACAAGTTAAAGGGAAACGAAATGAGTTCTGTTCATGTAGGCGTCAAAGATTTCCAACAGTCTATTACCGCTATTCTACTATTTACCCTAAGCCGTATTTCACATAGGACTTGTGTGATTTCTTATAAACCTCAACACAACTGAAATCCAAGGTGTGCTATAACTTTTTTATAGTCAGTATGTATTAGTCTATCACTATAGAAGCTGTTGTTGAGCACTTATTTTTTAAAAAAAATGAATCATATTTACAATGTAGAACATGTTATAAAATCGGTGTGCAAAGTTAATCATAAAAGGATAACACTATTTGTTTAGAAACAAGCTGCCTCTCCTGTTTACATTTCCTTATTCTGGATATAAATTGGAGACATATACTATTTAAAAATAACACTTTTTAAATAGTAAAATATACAAGAGATTCCTGAGCATAACAAAAATATCTTGAAAATATGTGGCCATTTGAAGTACAAAATAGCAAGTGTAAGAATAGCATGATTGTAAAACTACTGTTTGAAGGCTTATAAACAGTACAAAATAGTTTGCCTTTTCTGAGTGCATACTTATACATTAGTGCAAACAAAAGGTCTCAAAATTTAATGGCTACAAATCTCAAAGATTTGCAGAGGTGCGCAAAACGTGAAACTTCTTTAGTGTCATGCGAACTGAGCCCAGTTCTCGATTAATCCTTTCCAAACGATCTTCCAAGGCTTCCTAGGAGAAAACATGGAAAGTTTAATTAGAATTCCGCATCAAGTTCACTGGTTCCACAATGAACATCAAATTGACCTTCAGCAAAACAGCAAGTATAAACATTAAAACTATACATAGCTATCTTGCTCTGTAATACAAAGCATCTTATTTATATTCTTTCTTTAAAACTGAGTAACGTGAATCAGATTTTCAACCACTCAAAGTAACTGCTGCGCTTTAAAATATTTTCAACATGTCTGGCACAGTGATGACATGGACATTCTAATAACAGCAAAACAGCCAACTAGAAGGGGCTCTCTCTGACACTGCTGAGCTGAGGACACAACCAGAGGAAACTAGAGGGCCAGGGGACCCCATTCACACAGCTATCAAATTACAAAATCTCTAGGTTGAAAGGAAAAACACTGGATGCAACTTTCCCCCAAAACAATAGATTTCACAGTGAATCGATATAAATACCATTTTAAGAGAAATAAAACTATTAAATAAGTAGTACGTAGAAAAGGTATTTATCATGTTTAGATACTTTAATCAGGACCTACTCTAATAGTATTCTGAGATTAAACTGTATCTTCAAGAACAAAAGAATACGTGTTCATTTATACAGAGTATTTAGAAGATAATAAAACAAGCCACTGTTCCTCTTTCTTACTTTTGCTGCACATGTGCAAATTCTTTTTAAAAAGAAAAGAAACAGGCCGGCGCCGTGGCTCAATAGGCTAATCCTCCACCTTGCGGCGCTGGCACACCGGGTTCTAGTCCCGGTCGGGGCGCCGGATTCTGTCCCGGTTGCCCCTCTTCCAGGCCAGCTCTCTGCTATGGCCAGGGAGTGCAGTGGAGGATGGCCCAGGTGCTTGGGCCCTGCACCCCATGGGAGACCAGGAAAAGCACCTGGATCCTAGCTCCTGCCATCGGATCAGCGCGGTGCGCCGGCTGCAGCGGCGGCCATTGGAGGGTGAACCAACGGCAAAGGAAGACCTTTCTCTCTCTGTCTCTCTCTCTCACTGTCCACTCTGCCTGTCAAAAATAAAAATAAAAAAAAATACAAAAAAAAAAATACAAAAAAAAAAAAAAAAGAAAAGAAACAATAGGATCAAACTTTTACAAAATATTTTTCGGGGTCAGCCTCGTGGCATAGCGGGTTAAGCTGCTGTCTGTGATGCCAGCATCCTATATAAGCACCAGTTTGAGACCCGATTGCTCCATTTCCAATTCAGCTCCCTGCTAATGCTCCTGGGAAAGCAGTGAAAGATGGCTCAAGTGCTTGGGTTACTGCACCCATGTGGGGGACCCAGAAGAAGCTCCGGGTTCCTCACCTCTGCCTGGCCCAGCTTTGACCGTTGCCAAACATTTGGGGAGTGAACCAGCAGAGGAAGATCTCTCTCCCTCTCAAAGTAAATCTTTAAAAAATATATTTTTCAGTTAACTTTGCATGCTGTGAAATACCCTTCTATATTACTGTATAACATTCCAGCAGATGCAACAGCGTGCAGTCAGAGTCTTTTAGAGACTCAGGTTGCTTCCAGTTTTGGAGTCCATCAATTAGGCTGCAATGCATTTCTTTTTTTTTTTTTTTTTTTTACAGGCAGAGTGGACAGTGAGAGAGAGAGAGACAGAGAGAAAGGTCTTCCTTTGCCGTTGTTTTACCCTCCAATGGCCGCCGCGGCCGGCGCGCTGCGGCCGGCGCACCGCGCTGATCCGATGGCAGGAGCCAGGAGCCAGGTGCTTTTCCTGGTCTCCCATGGGGTGCAGGGCCCAAGCACCTGGGCCATCCTCCACTGCACTCCCTGGCCACAGCAGAGAGCTGGCCTGGAAGAGGGGCAACCGGGACAGAATCCGGCGCCCCAACCGGGACTAGAACCCGGTGTGCCGGCGCCGCTAGGCGGAGGATTAGCCTAGTGAGCCGCGGCGCCGGCCTGCAATGCATTTCTTAATGTATTTCTCTTTGCACCTGTCTCTAAGTATCACTGCCTTAGGAATCATTCTCAGACTCAGAAGTGCTAGGTCCAAAGAAATGCAAATGCTGCCGCTCTGGATAAATGCTACACTGTGCTCCAGAAAGAGGAGGATTTCGACTTCCACCTGCCATATATGAGTGTGAGTTTTTCTCCATTCTCAGAATTTTTTTTTTGATACCTACCAATGTGATAGTTTAAGAAAAGGTGATGCCTTTTTTAAAATTTTGTTTTTAAAATATTGTTTTTATTGATTGATGAGACTGGACACTCTTCATTTTTTTTTTTTTTTTTTTTTTTTTTTTGCCTAGTAAAAGTACCAGTTACGAGCATCCTCAGCCCCATTTTGCTGCCACTGATCTTCCTGCTGAATTCAAAGAGCTCTGAAAACATAAACAGACACTAATGCCTTCTAAATCTTCAGAGCCAGAAAGAACCCATAATATTCATTATAAAACAATATATGAAAAGTGTTTCAGATTGATTTAGAATCAGGCTATCCACAAATCTGCCTTCTGCTTTCCTAGTAAATTATTTTAGAGTTTCATGTGTTAATTCAATATTATAAATTACTGAATAAAAATTGTCAAAACAAAAACAATATAAAGTCTTAAAGTCAGAGGAAAAGAGAAGTTAGGGACACAGGTACTAGCTATAGGTCCACCACTTCTACTCTGTGTAAATGAACTTGTACTCAAGTTCAGGCACTGAAAAGCCAAACATGCTTGCTGCTATGTCTGGAATGTCTTTAAGTGAGCAGATTTTAAAAGTCCCATGGCTTCATGCATTTAAAATTCTTTGAAAAGCAACAGAAGAAACTCAACTAAGAGATGCCCACGGGCCACATCACCTGCACCTCCTCCTGCTTGACCATGGAATCGCACCTCCCTCTTTAACCTGCGCAGCCATTCCAGCTGCAAAGTCCAACCAACAGTGTTTACTAAGTGGAAAGGGACTCAGAAATAAAAGAGGGACTTAATGAAGGAAGATTAACTTAACAGCGTGAATCTGTTAAAAGGCACAGGGCCATTTGGTCCCAAGTTAGTTTCTGGAAAATATAACGGCACAGAGGCCATTCTCTTGAAGTGTAAAAGTAAAATCAGTTTTCATTCCTGAAAGCAATGCAGTTGTGAAACAGCCGTCATCCCCAAATACTTCCTGTACAGTGCTAAACGCTGACCAGCACTTCACTGACACCAGTCTTCCATGTGCCACAATTTGTAAAACTCCTCTTGATGAATGGAGATTGACAGGCACCAGCCACTGAGGGGAACTCCAGCTCAGACATCTCACCTGATTTAACCTTGTCTGTAAAGTGACTCGTCCTCCAGGAGAAGGCATTCGGCTTAGTGCTGCCTCAATCTGTTAACACAGAAGATGTCCAATAAAAAAAAGCATTCCCGGGCTGGAGCAGTGGTGCAGTAGGCTAAGCCTCCACCTGCAGTGCCAGCATCCCATATAGGCGCCAGTTTTAGTCCCTGGCTGCTCCACTTCTGATCCGGCTCCCTGCTAATGTGCCTGGGAAAGCAGCAGAAGATGACCCAAGGGTTTGGGCCCCTGCAACCACGTGAGGGACCCAATATGAGCTCCTGGAGCCCAGCTTCAGACTAGCCCAGCTCCAGCCATTGCTGCCATTTGGGCAGTGACTCAGCAGATGGAAGATCTCTCTGTGTCTCTCCCTTTCTCTCTCTCTAAGTCTGCCAAACAAATCTTTAAAAAATAATAAATAAAAATAAAAATAAAAATAAAAATAAATAAATAAATAAACACAAACATTCCAATGACTGGCAGGGAGGTTTATGGCCGAGAATAAGCACACTTCAGTCCAGCATCCCCGTGCTTTTGTCTCAGTCTAAGCCCCTGGTCACCAAGCACCCAGGAGCGGTGGGAGCGTGACTTCAGTGCGCTCTGGCGCGGCTCTGCTGCGGCCCCGCCGCCCTCACCGTCACTTCCTGAGGTCGCTGACTCACAACTTCCCTTCTACTCCTTAGACAGAAGCATTACGTGCACAAAAAGATTTTTAAAAATACTTTTGTTTTTACCTGGTCCTTTTCTTTTGTTAGTTCATCAAAGAAGCGTTCCGTTTCAGCGAGGGTTCTAATTTTTGCGGTATATTCAAAGTCAGTACCCTGCGGTGTCACGGGAACCAGCTCACGCTGTTCCTGGCCAGCTAGTTTACACTTCTCCCAGGCTGGTCTCGCAGGGGCTTTCTTCATTCCATTTGGCAATGGTTCGGGGCAAGAGCTATGATTAACAAGGTTGTCTGCGGCTTTTTCTGAATATTTTTTTTCTGTCAGAGAGGAAAGAAATTTCTTATCAATTTTTCCAATATATTGCATACATGTTAAATACATTGTCCCACTTCTCTTTCTGGAAATGGCTGCTATGTAGGCCAAAAAAGTAATGAAAAGAGACACAATAGTCAGTATTTATGCGGTGCTTTTTCTCCAAGTTCTAAAAGCTTTGCCCTCAATTTGACAATTTTCACAACTATTAAAAATGAATGCAAGAAAACTTTATGTGAACACAAGAACTTTTTTTCTTTAAAGATTTATTTACTTATTTATTTGAGAGGTAGAGTTACAGACAGTGAGAGGAGAGATAGAGAGAAAGGTCTTCCATCTGCTGGTTTACTCCCCAAATGGCTGCAATGGCCAGAACTGGGCCAATCCGAAGCCAGGAGCCAGGAGCTTCTTCTGGGTCTCCTACTCCGGTGCAAGAGCCCAAGCACTTGGGCCATCTTCCACTGCTTTCCCAGGCTACAGCAGAGAGCTGGATTGGAAGAGGAGCAGCTGGGATTAGAACCAGCGCCCACATGGGATGCTGGCACTGCAGGCAGAGGATTAACCTACTGTGCCACAGCGTTGGCCCCACAAGTGAACTTTCAAGACTACGCAATGGGGGCCCAGCTCTGGCTGTTGTAGCCATGTGGGGAGTGAATCACCGAATGGAAGATCTGTCTCCTTCTCTCTCTATAAACTGTCTTCTAAATAAATAAATAAATCTTCTAAAAAAAAAAAAAAAAAAGACTATGCAGTGCATCACGCCAAGTGGATCTGCATCCCTACCATGCACAGGGAACTCTCTGAGGGCATCCCCAGGTGACTCCCACACATTGTAATGTTTTCCTGAACTTAAAATATATGTGAGAAAAGAGGAAAAAAAATTACCCAAAGCCTACATTGCTTATAAATATTATAAATCATAGAATAAAAAAGCAAAGGAGTAACTGGACAGCAGGGCCCTGGGAATTAAACGTTACCATGACCTGTGCCTTGGTACCCTAACTTCAGTCAGAGTGACAGCACTGACCTGACAACATGAGGCATCATGAAGGCCCATACGTAGATTGTTCAGTACAGGGTACTGTGATGTGATGTTTGCAGTCTTGGAAAGATACTAGAATCTCAGTCAGAGTGACAGCACTGACCTGACAACATGAGGCATCATGAAGGCCCATACGTAGATTGTTCAGTACAGGGTACTGTGATGTGATGTTTGCAGTTTTGAAAAGATACTAGAATCTCAAAAAATGAGCAAGCAACACCAAGACTAGTAATTTTTAGGAAAAGATACCTTCAGGGTCATCTAGAGGAAGAAACTGGAGTTGTTTTCTTGCATTGGTTCGTTGTAATGTAGACACAGGAACAGTATCTAAATCATCCAAAAGTATATCAAATCTATTGAATGAAGCAAGTGACTTGTGAGAAGAAAATGTTAACTGATTTTTTTATTTCCACTAGAAACATGAGCTGGCATCCGGGTAACTCACATATTTTCTTTAAAAAAAAAAAAAGCTGGTCATATAACTTCCTAACACTGAAGCTCACTGTCTATTTTCTAATATAAAACTGTGCTGTACACTGAAGCGTTTGCTGGCCTGTCGTCGTGCGGGGCAGGTGTCAGCCCCATCTTAGAGAAGACGTGACTGGGTTCACTGAGCTTCATGATCTCCCCAAGAGACTGACAACTGGAAGCAAGGACCTTCCCTCCACAGCACACAGCACCGCCCCGCTGCAGAGAAGCCAACCTGTGCCCAGGGCCGGGGCCACACCAGTGCAGCCCATTTCCTAGTGCAAATGGCTCAGGAGTCTCCCTGTACCATACACGTTTTGGGGAGAACAAACAACTATGATTCTATATCCAAAAGCTGAATGAGGTGCTGAGGCAGAATTTAAAATCAGCAGCCATGTTTACACATTGAAAACTGTCCTGCCACTAGGGTACTCATGTAGATAACTAGAGACCCCACTGGTAACTAAGCACCTGATAGCTAAAGGCATGCATCAGTATTTGTTTACATCAATGGTGTATACATATCTTTCATCCCACAGCTTTAGAGAACTTACCGAGTTGGACTGCTTTCATTTTTGCTAAGTAGATGACTAAATCCTGGGGACAAATTTTCTTTAGGGGATCGCTTTGGACTATAAGCCACAGTCACTGGTGTTAACATAATCTCTCTTTTTGCTACAGAAGAAAACGAAGAGGAAATATTCTTTTTCTTCCATACAAGTTATTTTAACAGAACATAGTTTTGATTTTTTTAAGAACTTTTTTCTACTTTTACAGGAATAAGAATTTCATTGTAACACACTGAGAGGTGTAAGCACACAAAACAATCACATAACTCATATCCTAACATCTAGAGTTCCACTGGTGACACTTCAGTACATTAGACTTCAGTTTCAGCATTCCAGCTCAAACTGGTTTTTCAGGATTTTAGAAGTCAACTGGAAATAAGCTGGAACCACAGGGAACATTCCTACAACATAGTAACAGAAGAATCCCCTCTGTGGTATGAAAAATGTAAACCAGGGTCACAGAAATTCAATGCTGAAACTTTAAAATCAAGCCTATCGCTGGCTAAAAAAATGGCAACTGATGCTGAGGGGCTGGGGGCATCTTCTCTATGCAGACTACTCTTAATTCATGAGTCTGAATAACTGATTAATAGTTGTCTATCTTCCTGAACACTGTGAAGCACTATTAGGCACACATAATTTCCGACACACACACACACACACACACACACACACACACACACACCTCACTTTAACAGATTCTTTCAGCTGCACCTGCAATGTCTGTGCAAGCAGGACATTTTATCCATCGCACTAGAGCATCTTTAGGGAGCAGGTGCTCACAGTGGTCTAGGAGGTGCTTCGGAGGACACGGGACAAAGAGGGAACAGCGCACAGCTCAGATGTCCCTCAAGCCCAGGAGACACATCAAACGCTTACTTGGGGTGCTTGGCTTGCGGTTTGAAGGCGGCAAAGACGAAGATCTCTGTGAGGCGGAGTTGAGTCTCCTCTGTCTCTGCTGGGCACATTTCTCTGGGGAGCGACTGACTGAAGTTTCTGTGTGCCGGGGATTCACTAATTCCATACCACACAAATGTACAAGAAACAAAACAGAAAAATCAGAATAAAGCTGGCTCCAGTCATCTGCCTTTATTAACAGATGGCTATGCCAAGCAAGGCCTTCCCCCAGCTTATGTACTGCTCAACATCATTGCTTCTCACCATCGAGGTTCAAATGATTACTCGCAAACGTACCTCATTATAACAGTGAAAAAAACACCTGATGAAGAAAAACGTGGGCATACATAATGAATTCATCCTGGTTTCCTCCTTACAAGTGGCACTCGAGGTGATTTTCGAGAGTGTATTTTTAGAAAGCAGGTTACTAACTGATTTACTAGGAGGCGCTGCTTTTGTGATGCCACACCCAGAGATGTGGGGGTCACGCCTGGCAGGTACGAACACAGAGCAGACAGCAGGAGAAGAAAGTGCTGCCGACCTGAGCCCCGAAGAGGACACAGGGCTGATGACACCATCCCCTCCACAGGAACTGCTACATCTCACTCCGTGATCCCACCCATCTGTCACCATTTTCTAATGTGTGCAAATAGGAAAAACTGATATAGCAATTTTTCAAATATCCTTAAGAATGCTATGTAAGCCTTTTTGATAATCAGAATGAAACATAGAGTTTGCTTTGAATAAATGGGTACATAGTTATGTCAGGACTGATAAATTACTAATCTGGGGATCCAATTATCTCTGAAATAATATTGATGCAGCAGTGCAATGAATTAAACTTAATTTCATTATCTGAAGAATTTAATTTTAAAGAAGGTGATATAAATGGGGTAAAGAAGGAAGACATCTATATCCACCTAAAACAGGGAATAAAAATCCTTACTATTTGAGGTGCCCTCTTTCTCTGTTTGTGTCCCCCAGTTCTTAAATATCTTCTCTTCATCAAGTTCTTTTAGGGCTTTCATGACTGCTGTGTCTGATGTCTCTCTCCGTTTTTTTAAGCTTGTTGGTGAACTTCCAGGAGAGGAATCCTTTTCTGGAGGAGAACAGTACCTGAAATAAAAATTTTAAGACACACACTACTGTGGGCTGAATGTCTGCGCACCCCTGACAAACGTGCGTGCTGAGTTCCTCATCTTCAGTGACAGCACATGTGGGAGGTAATCAGAGACAGATGAGGTCACGAGGGCAGATCACCTGTGATGGAATTAATGATTTTTTTTTTTTTTTTTTTTTTTGACAGGCAGAGTGGACAGTGAGAGAGAGAGAGAGAGAAAGGTCTTCCTTTGCCGTTGGTTCACCCTCCAATGGCCGCCGCGGCCAGCGCGCTGCAGCCGGCGCATCGCGCTGATCCGATGGCAGGAGCCAGGTACTTATCCTGGTCTCCCATGGGGTGCAGGGCCCAAGCGCTTGGGCCATCCTCCACTGCACTCCTGGGCCACAGCAGAGAGCTGGCCTGGAAGAGGGGCAACCGGGACAGAATCCGGCGCCACGACCGGGACTAGAACCTGGGGTGCCGGCGCCGCAAGGCGGAGGATTAGCCTAGTGAGCCATGCCACCGGCCCAATTAATGATCTTATAAAAAGACAAAACACAGAGGGAAGGTCCTATGAGGACATAACCATGAAAGGGGCTCTGAGAACCCCACCGTGGCGGCACCCTGATTTTGTAGATCAGCCTCCAGAACTGTGATGAAGCTGTCCAGCTGTGGTGGTTGTCACAGCAGCCCAAGCTAAGACACACAGCTGACCTCGACTAGTAGGGCAACAACGCTGGAACTGACGATTATACTCCAGAGTGAGTGTATGCTTTACATGGCAGGTGAATTCACACTGAACTTGCATATCATAAATCAGTGCTTCAGGACGGGTGTTGTGGAAGAGCAGGGTAAGTCACCACTTGGGACGCCCTCATCCCATATTAGAGTGCCCTGCTACCTTGCTTCAGACCCAGCTTCCTCCTAAAGCTCCTGGGAAGGCAGCAGACAATGGCCCATGTGGGAGTCCCAGAGGGAGTTCCTGGCTCCTGGCTTCTGCCTAGCCCAGCCCTAGCTGCTAAAGCCATTGGGGAGTAAACCAGCAGACAGAAATTCTCTTTCCAATAAGAAAATAAATAAATCTTTACAAAATTAAAAACTGTAACAGTGCTCCCCAATCCTTTTAACACCCTAGCACACACAGAAGCATGCTATGTGTATGCACCCTGGAGCAAATGGCTGAGGTTGCTCATGGAGCTAGCACGCACACAGGAGAGAAGAGGATTGACATCCTGTGTTAACTACACACTGTACCCTTGAGTACAGGATGGGAAGTTCTCTGCAGCCCATGAAGGTAAGATGCCCCGAAATAATTAGCCTCTCGAAGTAAAATAAAAATCAGGTCCTCAAAATTAAGACAGTAAGGGCTGGCATTGAGGCACAACAGGTTAAGCTACTACTGGGGATGTCAACATCCTGTATCAAGAGTGCTAGTTCAGGTCTCAGCTGTTCAGCTTCCAAGCCAGCTCCCTGAGAATGCACCCGGGGAGGTAACATGATGGCTCAAGAACTGGGTCCCTTGGGCCGGCACCGTGGCACAGCAGGTTAATCCTCTGCCTGCAGGGCCAACATCTCATATGGGCACCGGTTCTAGTCCCGGCTGCCCCTCTTCCAGTCCAGCTCTCTGCTGTGGCCTGGGAAGGCAGTGGAGGATGGCTCAAGTGCTTGGGCCCTGCACCCCATGGGAGACCAGGAGAAGCACCTGGCTCCTGGCTTCAGATCGGCACAGTGCCAGCTGTGGGAGTCATTTGGGGGGTGAACCAATGGACGGAAGACCTTTCTCTGTCTCTCCCTCTCACTGTCTGTAACTCTACCTCTCAAATAAATAAATAAAATCTATATCTATCTATCTATATATATATCTGCCTTTCAAATAAAGTAAATAAACAAATCTGAAAAGATTTTAAGACAATAAAGACCCAACAGAGCTGGGTGTGTGGCGCAGTGGCTAAGACGCTACTTGTGACGTCTGCGTCCTGCACCACAGCGTCCGGGTTTGAGTCCTGGCTGCACATCCACTTCCAGCTTCCTGATAGTAGCAACCTGCAAGAGAGCAGGTGGCGGCTCAAGCACGTGGGTGCCTGCCACCCAGATGGGAGGCCCAGGTGGAGTTCTGGCTCCTGACTTTGGCCTGGCCCAGCTCTGGCTGTTGCAGGCATTTGAGGCGTGAACAAGCAGACAGATCTGTCTGTCACTGTCTCTCTCTCTCTCCTTTCTCATTCTGCCTCTCAAATAAACAAAGAGGGAACCAACACAAGAGCAATGGGGAAAAGGAGAGCCAAAGAGATGGCTCTTTATTTACAGCTTTCTCAACATCTGGAAGGAGAAACCTCTAGAAAACAGCACTCCTAAGTGGGACCTCTGGAAAGTTACTTACCCAGGAACACAGGTTTCCTCCAGCTGGCCATCCACTTGGCTCTGGCTGTCCAGAGGCTGCCCAGTGAAGATAGAGTACTCTGCACCTGGTATCAGCCACTTCCGCCTGCTGACGTCTGCAGTTGCTACTGTGCTATTGGAAGGAAACATTGCAAGGTTTGCACTTCAATTAGACTCACATGTGTAAGTCAACCCACTTCCAAATACTATTTACATATTGGGCCATTAATTTTAAAATAACCTATCAATATTCTGATACATTAATTATATTTTATGGCTTTAAGGTTCAGTTAAACTGGTATTTTAGGTTTCTATTACTTTTTTTTTTTTTTTTTAACAGATAGAGTTAGAGAGACAGACAGAGAGAAAGGTCTTCCTTTTCCGTTGGTTCACCCCCTCAAATGGCTGCTATGGCCGGAACTATGCCGATCCGAAGCCAGGAGCCAGGTGCTTCCTCCTGGTCTCCCACATAGGTACAGGGGCCCAAGCACTTGGGCCATCCTCCACTGCCTTCCCAGGCCACAGCAGAGAGCTGGATTGGAAGAGGAGCAGCCGGGACTAGAACCAGCACCCATAAGGGATGTAGGTGTCGCAGGCAGGGGCTTTACTCGCTGCACCACAACACCAGCCCCTACTATGTTCTACTAAGATTAATTAATGAAGATCCAGGAAAAATTGCTCATTTGACAATAACTTAATAAAGTTAATTATAACTTAAAATAATTTCTTTCTGAGGCTGGCACTGCAATTATGACATGGCATCCCATATGAGAGTGCCAGTTCAAGTCCCAGCTGCTTTGCCTCTGATCCAGTTCCCTGCTAATGTGCTTGGGAAAGCAGTGCAACATGGCCCAAGTACTGGGGCCCCTGCCACCTACATGGGAGACCAGAATGGAATTCCTGGCTCCTGGCTCCAGCCTGGCCCAGAGCTGGCTACTGTGGTCATTTGTGGAGCAGATGGAAGATATCTCTCTCTCTCTTTGCCTTTCAAAAAATCTTTAAAAAACATAATTTCTTGGGCTGGTGCTGTGGCATAGTAGGCTAAGCCTTCATATGCAATGCTGGCATCCCATATGGGCACTGGTTCATGGCCCAGCTGCCTCTTCCAACCCAGCTCTCTGTTTATAGCCTGGGAAAGCAGTAGAAGATGGCCATGTGCATGGGCCCCTGCACCCACATGGAGACTTGGAAGAAGCTCCTGGTTTCTGGCTTCAGATTGGCCCAGCTCCAGCCATTTTGGCCCATTTTGGGAGGGAACCAGAGGACAGAAGACCTTTCTCTCTGTCTCTCCCTCTCTCTGGCTATAACACTGCCTCTCAAGTAAATAAATAAAATCTTAAAAAAAATAATTTCTTTCTGATAAATGTCAACATTATGAAGTTACAATGTCTTCAATATTACTTATTTGTACCAAAATAAAAATAAAAATCAGTTCTAATATAAAAAACTTTTTGTGCAAATAATCTTAGAATAAAGTAAGATAAGTCTTTGAGATTCCATCAAAGCTGATTCTGAAAGAACTAGAGGGAAATCCAGACAATCTAATGAAGATCCACCTTCAAAGGTCTTTCCATTAACACAGAAATAAAATGTCTGGAATTATAGGGCTAACGGACTTTCAGATGTTCTCACCCTGTGTGTCCTGGTTTGCCCAGATAATAAAAATGAGCTCCAAAAACAGGAAGTGATTTCCCTAAGGTAACACAGCTGGGCAGAGTCAGAGAACAAAACAGACTCCACATCCCCTGCCTCCCAGCCTGATCCTACCATCCTCTCAGACTGTGTTTCAGCAGCGTGTGTTCTGTCACAGCGACGCACCCTGGCTCCTGTGATGGGCAGACGCGCTGACCACTATGACAGAAGTGTGGGCCTGCTCGGCCTTGCAGAGAAAGTGGAGTAACTTACTTGGCACGGGGGGGTCGCACATGAGCTTTGGCATGATGGCGAAGACTCAGCATATTTTCATGCTCGACTTGCTTGACCTGAGCTTCAAGTTTTGAAATTGTTCTAAATCAAAAGCAGTAAGTACATTTCAACAAATTTAAAATACTGCCCTACTACACATTATTTAACAGACCCTCTAAGAAAAGCGTGACCAAACAGCTGTCTGTCCACAAAGCTTTTTCATGGGAAAACACCATTAAATTTTAAAAAGCTAATCAAAACCAGAGAAAGTAAATGGAGAAGCAAATGCATTAAACTCTACAAAGGAGCATTTCATAAACTGCAACTGAAGGAAAAGGCAACAATAGACTTAATATAGCAAGCAAAAGGAGTTATGCAAATGTGACTACAAATGAAAACATGCAAGGTATAAATCAAAGTGTCAAATAAATTGTACTTTAATTCTATGTATGCATTAATGTACACAAAGCATAACAGGTCACGTTTTCACAAAAGAGAAAGTAAGCTGAACTTCCAGAAACAGGGCTATTGTCAAAAAGAACTTTCTAATTTTCAAGAGGCAAAAAGCTAAAATATCCCAAACTCTAACCCGGGTAGTTCCTGTCATTTGTGTCACACTCAGGGTAAAAGCCCATTCTCATGTCCATCAGCAGAACATAACCACCTGGCCAGTGAATCGCCCTGAGGATATCTGTCGCTCCCCCTCTTTGTGGAGGAGCAACACAAGACCCTGCGCTGTTCTTTCGTCTGCTCGGCCCTCCCCGGGTTTGCTGCTGGTTCTTCCCGGGTTGGCTACTATCCCTTCCACCTCCGTGGAAGGGCAGTTCCCCCTGGCCGCATTCCCCACTTCCGCAGGGGAGCGGCACACCACCGGCCAGCTTTCTCGGGGGCTGCACGGGCTCCCTTAGATGTTCCCCATAGATGTTCCTGGTGCATGCCGTCTCTCTCCTCCTTTATAGTCCTCCTCCGCCAATCCTAACTCGGCTGCCCACACGCCGAGTACGCTGCTCTCCAATCAGGAGCAAGTCCTACAGTTTATTAGCTGAACTGGAGGCAGCTGTGCGGAAGCTGTTTACTTCTCTCCCAGCGCCATATTGTGGGAGAGCAGATGCATAGAATAAGTCTTAATTTCAGTAACTTAGTCCAGTCCGGATTGCTCCCCACAGATCCCCCTTTCTTTTTATTTTTGGCGTTGATACGCGCCTGTCTTCGGTGTCCCGCGGCACACACTCTGCTCTACTTGCTAGAGTTGCCACAGGCTCTTACAAGTCCTATCAATCAGGAAAACCGAATCCGGGTCCTCTCTTCGCCATTGTGAGGAGGTTTTTAGGCGCTGATGCGTGCCTGTGTTCGGTGCCCTGCAGCGCATGCTCTGCTCTGCCCGCAGGGGACTTACAAGACCTATCAGGCAAACCGAATCCAAGCCTTCTCATTGCCTTATTGTGGGGGAGACTTATTAGTGTTGGTTCGTGCCTATCTTCGGTGACCTGCAGCTCATACTCTGGTCGAGCTGCTTGCTGGCGCTTACCGCCTTAATCAGGCAGACCGAATCCAAGCCTCCTAATTGTTGCATTGTGGGGAAGCCTTACTGATGTTAATTCGTGCCTGTCTTCGGTGACCTGCGGCGCATAAGCTGCTAGCCGCCGCAGGTGCTCATCGTGCTCATCGCCTCACTTAATCAGGCAGACCGAATCCAAACTTTCTCGTTGCCATGTTGAGGGGAGGCCTTTCTATTTCTCTATTTCTCTATCTCCGGGCATTCCTATTTCTCCCATTTTACTTCTATCTTCCAGCATTCCTATTTCTCTCATTTTACTTCTAAACTTCTGTTTCTCTTATCCCTGCGGCTTTCCGGCACCTCGCCCCGCCGGCGGGTTCCCGGCTCTGCGCCGCTTCAGCCTGCGCGCCTCTCTCATCTGCGCAGCTTCCCGGCTTTGCGCTGGCTCGGCTTCGCGCGCTCCGCGGTCTCCACGCTTAACCCTTTCGCGTCTGAACCACAGCCTCGCGCCAGCCCCGTTCCCTATCTATTCACGCCCCGTGCTCTCTGCACGCGGCGGCTTCCGCGAGTAACACAGCGTAGCTTACGTGTCCGCCACTAGCATTCAATCTAAGTTCCCCGGGCTAGCCTGGCGAATTCAACCCAGCGTACGTCTCCGCCCCACGGTTTGGCTTCCCGTCCTTTGCTCCCCGGGCTAATCAGACGGATCCCAATCTGGCTTACGTCTCAGCTTCTGGTTTCAACTTTTCGCCCCCTATTCCCGGGCTAACTTGAGAATCCCAAAGTGGCTTTCGTGTCCGCCTTGGCCTGCCCCCCGCGGCTTCAATTTCCCTAACATTTTTCTCTACCCGGTATGTTTCCCCAAGCTTTCCTCCAACAATACTCCTCCCTCATTTCTCCTGGCCTCTCCCCACAGTCCGCGTCCGAGTCTGTTTGTTCTAGCGTTCACTTTCGCTTTCGACCTTAGAGATTTCTCCCAGCTTCCCCCCGTATTCCGTATCTGAGTCTATGCCTAGGCTTTCAATAGCTTCTTCCGGCTCCTTTTTCGTCCGGCTTTTCCCTAGGCTGTTTGCTAGTCTCTCCCTCCGGTATTTTCCCAGTTCTTCCCGTTTCTTCCCTCCTAAGTTTCATATCCGTCCTAAGTTTCCTATCCGAGCTAGGTTTCCTATCCGAGTCACGGCACCATTATGTCGCTCCCCCTCTTCGTGGAGGAACGACACAGGACCCTGCGCTGTTCTTTCGTCTGCTCGGCCCTCCCCGGGTTTGCTGCTGGTTCTTCCCGGGTTGGCTACTATCCCTTCCACCTCCGTGGAAGGGCAGTTCCCCCTGGCCGCATTCCCCACTTCCGCAGGGGAGCGGCACACCGCCGGCCAGCTTTCTCGGGGGCTGCACGGGCTCCCTTAGATGTTCCCCATAGATGTTCCTGGTGCATGCCGTCTCTCTCCTCCTTTATAGTCCTCCTCCGCCAATCCTAACTCGGCTGCCCACACGCCGAGTACGCTGCTCTCCAATCAGGAGCAAGTCCTACAGTTTATTAGCTGAACTGGAGGCAGCTGTGCGGAAGCTGTTTACTTCTCTCCCAGCGCCATATTGTGGGAGAGCAGATGCATAGAATAAGTCTTAATTTCAGTAACTTAGTCCAGTCCGGATTGCTCCCCACAGATATCCTGGCGTCCTTCCTGTCCTCTAACAGTTTGTGTTCTTCCTCATTGCATCTTTTAAATTTGTACTCTTACCTACTCTGATGGGAGATCTAAGAAGAAAAAAGAAAAAACAAACTCTAGCTCTAAACAGACTGATGTTCTACACAAATCTGACAAGGAAGCTATCACTAGAACTAAATGAATCTTATAAAAGAGTTAAGCATGGGGACAGTGCTGTGGTGCAGTAGGTTAACTCTCCGCCTGCAGCGCCGGCATCCCATATGGGCACCGGTTCTAGTCCCAGCTTTTCCATTTCCCATCCAGCTCTCTGCTGTGGCATGGGTGAGCAGCAGAAGATGGCCCAAGTCCTTGGGCTCCTGTATACGCATGGGAGACTCAGAGGAAGCTCCTGGCTCCTGGCTTTGGATCAGTTGAGCTCTGGCCATTGCAGCCAATTAGGGTGTGTAACAGCGGATGGAAGACCTCTCTCTCTCTCTCTCTCTCTCTCCCTCTCACTGTCTGTAACTCTACCTCTCAAATAAATAAATACAAATCCTTAAAAAAAAAGTTAAGAAGGACGGCGCCGCGGCTCACTAGGCTAATCCTCCGCCTAGCAGCGCTGGCACACCGGGTTCTAGTCCCGGTCGGGGCGCCAGATTCTGTCCCGGTTGCCCCTCTTCCAGGCCAGCTCTCTGCTGTGGCCCGGGAGTGCAGTGGAGGATGGCCCAGGTGCTTGGGCCCTGCACCCCATGGGAGACCAGAAGAAGCACCTGGCTCCTGGCTCCTGCCATCGGATCAGCGCGGTGCGCCGGCCGCAGCGCGCCGGCCGCGGCGGCCATTGGAGGGTGAACCAACGGCAAAGGAAGACCTTTCTCTCTGTCTCTCTCTCTCACTGTCCACTCTGCCTGTCAAAAAATTTAAAAAAAAAAAAAAAGTTAAGAAGACAAGAAATTGAGACAGATTTTCTGTTTCTCTGTGGAACATCCTTAGAGACTGCAGGAAAATTTAATGAGGGGCATTACTTATATCCAAATTCAAACATAAAAATATGAGTGGAATTCAAAGTTTATGAAAAAGTAGAATTAAAAAATAAGTTTAGTTCAGTGCAAAAAAAGTTTCAAATCCATATATAATGTTTCATAGTAAAGTATCCGTGTATGCTCTAAAATCAGTTTAGATACTTTCGTAGTTTGCAAGAGACCACTTATGACTCTTCCTACTTGAGACACTCATATCATTAATACAGTCTTCAAACCAAATCTTCAGTAAGGTGAATGACCAGCCACAAAGTTGGTGTAAATGCTGGGCTTTTTTTTTTTTTTTTCCTCCCAAGCACAGACAATTCAATGAACTAGAGTGCTTCTCAGAATTCTTTCAAAAAGTTAAATGTGATTTAGATTTTATACCTCTAAGGAACAGCCATCAGTATGCTATAATCACTTTAAAATCTTTGGCTAAAAGCAAACATGTCTATTTCAGGGAAAGATCAGGATAAAACTAGTTCTCAAACTGCTTACTAATTCTCAAGAAAAGCTCCCCTCTCATCACACTCAGTGTAGACACATAAGAGAAAAATTAGAGGCATTTGCCTATTTTACCTTTTCAAATCAGAAATCTGAGTATGTGCGTCAAGCAATTTGTTCTCAGCTGTATTTAATGTATCCTATGAAAATAAAGGAAAAATTTAGATAACAAGATAAATATTCAGATGTATCCTTTTATTTTAAAATGAGTAGAACAAAACTAATCCAAGGTTAAACCAGCTAACTACAAACTGTACAGACACTCCTCAAGTAAGGCACCAACCCAGAAGCAACACAGGTAACTCAGGAAAACAAGAAAGGAAAACAGCGGCCTATGCACGCAGTGCTGTGTGAGCCCCCAGTGTAAAACCCCACTGCGTTGTGCTAAATTAGAAACAGCCCAGTCTTGAAACTGACAGGCTACCCAGACACTGGACGAGCACCTCAGGCAATGGTAAAATCAATACTACAAATCCTGAATCCCCAGAACTCCTGGCTCCCTAAGCTGTGCAGCGCAGTCCTTCTCACTAATCCTACACAACTGCAACTCTGTACTTGACACAGCACAGATACCTGCTTCTACTTCCAGCACCACTGTGGGCTTTCATTACATTGAAATGCATGGCCCTCAGTTTTAATTAAGAAGCCAGGGGCAAGCATTTGGGTGCAGTGAGTTAATGCGGGCACTGGTTCGAGTCCCTGCTACTCCACTACCAACTCAGCCCTCTGTTAATAGCCTGGGAGAGCAGCAGAAGATGGCCTAAGTGCTCGGACCCCTGCCACTCCCAGATGGAGTTCCTGGTCTCTGGTTTTGGCCTGCCCAAGCCCCAGCCATTGAGGCCACCTGGGGAGTGGTCAGCAGATGGAAGGTCTCTCTCCCTCTTTTCCTTCCCTCCCTCCTTCCCTTTCTTTCTCCTTTCTGTAATTTTGCCTTTCAAATAAATAAATCTTTTACTTTTAAAGATTTATTTATTTTACTTTAAACTCAGAGTTACACAGAGAGAGGTGAAGCAGAGAGAGAGAGAGGTCTTCCACCTGCTGGTTCACTCCCCAGTTGGCAGCCAATGGCCGGAGCTGTGCCAATCTGAAGCCAGGAGCCAGGAGCTTCCTCCAGGTCTTCCACGCAGGTGTAGAGGCCCAAAGACTTGGGTCATCTTCCATTGCTTTCCCAGGCCACAGCAGAGAGCTGGACCAGAAGTGGTGCAGCTGGGACTCGAATCAGCACCCATATGAGATGTCAGCCCTGCAGGCGGCAGCTTTATCCACTATGCCATAGCACTGGCCCCCTATAAATAAATCTTTACAAAGCAATAAGAATCCAATCCCTACACAAGCCTAGTTAATTACTTGCATCTATATGGTATCTTATACTCTTCTAAACAATTTCATCTCAACTTATCTCAAAGCAAAAGCTATTCAATAAACATTCATTGGGTTAACATATGAAACTGCGAATTAAATAGGGCAGATATTTGAAAACAGGATACAGATTGAGCAAACGGTCAGTTCAAACAGCTACAAGGAGGAGGAAGGCTCAGGCCCTAATTTCCAATACAGTGCTTCTGCCTCTGTTTCCAGAACGTGAAAAATTACCCCTTACCTTTACTCGACTGTGCTCTTTTCCAAGGGATTCATACTCTCCTAAAAGCTACAAGAGAAAACAGAGAATTGCACCACAAAGTTGAACACTGTAACAGAACCCAGGGACAGATCGTACAACAGTGCCTCACACACAGCCTTAAAGCATACCCATGCATGCCCTGGTAAAGGGGACACAATTCTTGCAAGTTTTCTGTAAATATAAAATTATTTAAAGATAAAAATATTTAATGCCAGCGCCATGGGTCACTTGGTTAATTCTCCACCTGCGGCGCCAGCATCTCATATGGGCACTGGGTTCTAGTCCTGGTTGCTCCTCTTCCAGTCCAGCTCTCTCCTGTGGCCTGGGAAAGCAGTGGAGGATGGCCCAAGTGCTTGGGCTCCTGAACCCACATGGGAGACCAGGAAAAAGCACCTGGCTCCTGGCTTTGGATTGGCGCAGCGCCGGCCGTAGCAGCCATTTGGGGGTGAACCAACAGAAGGAAGACCTTTCTCTGTCTCTCTCTCTAACTCTACCTATCAAATAGATTTAAAAAAAATAAAAATATTTAATAACAATATCTTTGCAGTTTTCACAAGACTGAAATTTATTTGCATTGCTCTTCTTAAAATGTTGCATATTACTTTTTACTAAGTTTGCTCTTTAGAGTAAAAGTATAATGCCAAAAGTCTAATACATCAAGCAATTTATTTTAAAATACATATGTGAGAGGCTGGCATTGTGGTGCAGCAGGTGCTTGGCATTCCACACTGGAGTGACGGTTCAAGTGCAGCTGTTCTGCCTCCAATCCAGCTTCCTGCTAATGCACCTGGGAAGGCAGCAGGTGATGGCCCAAGTGTTTGGGATCCTGCCACTCATATGGAGACCTGTATGGAATTCCTAGCTCCTGGCTTCAGCTTCCAACTCTGGCTGTCACAGACAGTAAAGGAGTGAACCAGCACACAGAAAACTTTCTGATCTTTCTCTTTGTCACTCTGCCTTTCAAACAAATAAACAAGCTGGTGCCGCAGCTCAATAGGCTAATCCTCCGCCTGTGGCACCGGCACCCCAGGTTCTAGTCCTGGTCGGGGCACCGGATTCTGTCCCAGTTGCTCCTCTTCCAGTCCAGCTCTCTGCTGTGGCCCAGGAAGGCAGTGGAGGATGGCCCAAGTGCTTGGGCCCTGCACCCGCATGGGAGACCAGGAGAAGCACCTGGCTCCTGGCTGCAGATCGGCAGCTGGCTGTAGTGGCCATTTGAGGGGGTGAACCAACGGAAGGAAGACCTTTCTCTCTGTCTCTCTCTTTCTGTCTAACTCTGCCTGTCAAAAAAAATAAAAAATAAATAATTAATATAATGTCAAAGCTAATTAAGTAATTGTTATACTGTATTAAGGAAAAACATAAGAAAGAAAGTATGTGTACATTCAGTACAGCTGCAGTTTTGCCCCCAAACATTTCCAGTGCCCAATTGGCTGAATCCTGTGATGCAGAGCCAGCCAACATGAGGGCCGGTGCAGTCAGAGCTCAGAGCTTCCCCTGCCCCATGCAACAGGCACCATTCTGCCAGGTGACAGCACACATGAGAAACAGTGTGGGAGGAAAGTAAGTTAACATGGGAAACCCAAAAGAAACAGGAGAGGGAGAGGGAGGCAAAAGGACTAAAAGGCAATGCCAGGAAGTCTTTAAAGGACACCCCCTCCTCACTCCTCCACCGCCACCAGAGCCTGGCTGGGCGCTCCTGGCAAGAGACTGGATGACTTCTCTCTGGTGAAACTGATCAACCCTAGAGAAAAAGGCCTCTCCCTACCCACTCTGGGGAGCCCACTGAACGCTGGCATACCCCTAAAACACACGCAAGGGAAGACTTCCAGAACATTTACAAGATGTTCAGATCAAAGCAGAAACACTGCGAAGGGCAGTGACACAACACAGCACAAGCACAGACGCAGAAACAAAACTCAGTGCCGATCAGCTTCTCCCAGGAAGGCGAATACAACGAGAAGAAGTACGCTCACGGAGTTAGTGCTGTGACCTCACAGGTTAAGCCACTTCCTGCAAGCTGGCATCCCATGTGGTTCAAGTCCTGGGTGCCCCACTTCTGATCCAGCTCCCTGCTAACGCACCTGGGAAAGCAGGGGCAGGTGGCCTAAGTGCTTGGGGCTCAGACCCACATGAGAGAAGCTCTTGGTTCCTGGTTCTGAAATGGCTCAACCCTGGCCATTGCAGCCATTTGGGGAGTGAACCAACAGATGGAAGCTCTCCCCCTCAACCCTGTAACTCTACCTTTCAAGGAAATAAATAAGTCTTTTTTAAAAAAGCAAAAAAGGGTATACACACTGGGGAGCCCATCTGTACCTGGGGTATTTTATTTCTTAAAAATGGAAAAATGGAGGAGGGTTCTTATGTATTTGGTATGTTATTTTCCATACTTTTTTTTTTTTAAGATTTTATTTATTTACTTGAGAGGTAGAATTATAGACAGTGAGAGGGAGAGAGAGAGAGAAAGGTCTTCCATCCACTGGTTCACTCCCCAAATGGCTGCAACAGCCAGAGATGGGCCGATCCGAAGCCAGGAGCCAGGAGCTTCTTCAAGGTCTCCAACGCAGGTGCAGGGGCCCAAGGACTTGGGCCATCTCCTACTGCTTTCCCAGGCCACAGCAGAGAGCTAGATCAGAAGAGCAGCAGCCAGGACTAGAAATGGTGCCCACATGGGACGTCAGGGCCACAGGCAGAGGATTAACCTACTGTGCCACAGCGCCGGCCCCCGTACCTTTTTTAAAACCTAGAGTATTTCAAACATAAATGTGGAAATTAAAAGTGAGTAAAGACAAGCCAAACGCAGCACCTGGTAACTTTCAGGCACAACGCTAAGAAAAAGGCAGCCTGCAGAAAGCTACAGGCAGTACCAGAAGATGCGATCCACAGACAGCTCAAGAACAGAAGGCGTCCTGGGCAGGGGTCTGTCGCGCTGCGGGGGGTAGCAATCCGGAAGGTGTCTTCCCGCGTCCTGGGGTGGGCGGATCAGCAATCCCAGCCCTAAGCCCCACACAGGTGCTTCCGTTTAGAATCCGAAAGCTTGGGCCAGGCAGTGGGAATGGAACCCAGCACCTCTGCGAGTGGAGCTTCCTCAATGCACAGAGCTGCAAGCTGAGGATGCAAGCGGAGAGTGGCTTGTATAGGCTCCTGGCTACTTCTCCCTTCCACCCCCTGCTGACTCTGCTCGCTCACCCCTCACCTCCCTATGCCACTCATTTCCCTCCCACCGCCTTGCTTCGGCCCTGCCTGCCCATTTGGGCCTCAGGGTGGGGCCGGCAAATGGGAGAGGTCTCAATAAAGTTTTAAAAGCAGTTAAAAAAAAAAGAACAGAAGACATCAGTAGTACTTGTCTACAAACGAGACACATGTAATACAAGCAAAGAGAAGTGTGTGGGGACATACACAGTTCAGCAAAGTAGGTCCCTCAAGGACGGGAGAGCAGAAGGCAAGTGGACAGAGATTTGGTACTTTTCTGCAGGCTTCAACCCCTCGCCGTGACAACTGCACACCTCAGCGTCATCACTGGCCATATTCATTTCAGTTACAAACAATGTGCCAAAGACGCTTTGCTGCCTCCATGCCACCCAAACACAACTGGTGTGAGATTTGGGATAAATAAAAACAGTAACACCCCAGCAGCAACGAACACACTTAGTATAAAATCTCAGTGTCCAAATCCCATTTTACACCAAGCGGAACCCAGGCTCTATGGAAAAATGACCAATGCAGGGGCTGGACAAGTACCAGATGAGCCTGGGACATCTTGCTATATCAGACACTATGGATGTGCTCTAGAAAAAACAGGGAAGCAAGCCAGCTCAACACATCTCTCTCTGGTCAGATTCGTAACAAACAAGGATCAAAATAAAAAATAACCGTAACCATGGAGTAAAGTAAGAATTCATAAATCCATGCTGATAAAAATAAGGAAGAAGGAGGGCTGCTTCTCTCAGTCAGATGGAGGAGGAATAACCAGGCTGGAAGAGCCAGCAGTCACTGTTGCAGGAGAGGCCCCTCAGTGGAGCTAACACCAGCCGGTAGAAGTTTGCGGAGAAACAGGTGACTAACATATTCTTAAATTGCCCCTCAGAAGATACTTAGTAACTACAAAGTGGGGAAATATAACTTACAGAAGAGAAACCTTGCAGACACACCTCAACCAAGTAACTGGAATTCACACCACAAAGCTAATGTTTGTCTCCTGTGGTATTCCAATACACCTGGATAATCCAGGCCTGATATTAAAAAATAATTTTTTAAAAAATGATCTTTAGGGACTGGCATTGTAGCATAATGGGTTAAGCTGAATTAGCCAGCAAATGGAAGAGATTGATATCTTTCTCTCTATTGCTCTCTGTTGTTCTGCCTTTGAGATAAATAAAAGCATTAAGGCAATATTAAAAAAAATAAGAAATACTGAACACTGGCCGGCGCCGCGGCTCACTAGGCTAATCCTCCGCCTAGCGGCGCCGGCACACCGGGTTCTAGTCCCGGTCGGGGCGCCGGATTCTGTCCCGGTTGCCCCTCTTCCAGGCCAGCCCTCTGCTGTGGCCAGGGAGTGCAGTGGAGGATGGCCCGGGTGCTTGGGCCCTGCACCCCATGGGAGACCAGGAAAAGCACCTGGCTCCTGGCTCCTGCCATCGGATCAGCGCGGTGCGCCGGCCGCAGCGCGCCGGCCGCGGCGGCCATTGGAGGGTGAACCAACGGCAAAGGAAGACCTTTCTCTCTGTCTCTCTCTCTCACTGTCCACTCTGCCTGTCAAAAAAAAAAAAAAAAAAAAAAAAAAAAAAAAAAAAAACAGAAATACTGAACACTGATTTAACCTTTTTTTTTTTTTTTTTTTTTTTTGACAGGCAGAGTGGACAGTGAGAGAGAGAGACAGAGAGAAAGGTCTTCCTTTTGCCGTTGGTTCACCCTCCAATGGCCGCCGCAGCCGGCGCACCGCGCTGATCCGATGGCAGGAGCCAGGTACTTCTCCTGGTCTCCCATGGGGTGCAGGGCCCAGGGACTTGGGCCATCCTCCACTGCACTCCCTGGCCACAGCAGAGAGCTGGCCTGGAGGAGGAGCAACCGGGACAGAATCCGGTGCCCCGACCGGGACTAGAACCCGGTGTGCCGGCGCCACAAGGTGGAGGATTAGCCTAGTGAGCCACGGCGCCGGTCCCACTGATTTAACCTTAAACGAAGACAGATCATGTTTCAAATGTAAGGCACCATTGGCTATAAATCCTACCACTATTTTATAACCAATGGAAGAGTAAAAAATGCTCCTAATTAAACTATGGCACTATGGTTTTGAAAAGATACCATCCCATTTCAGGGGTGTTAAAATGTAAAAGAATATGCAGCTTACAATCCGTTCAATAATGAGCCACATTTGAAGGAGAGAGAAGTATCTGCAATGGCATAAGAAAGCCACACCACACCGCTGCATAGAAGGAAGTCCATGGCTGTCCACCCACGGGAAAAAGTGAAAGGACAAGTGTATTACTTAGAAAAATGGAGAGAAACATTGGAAGAATTGCTCTAAGAGCTGAAAGTAACAGCCTCTCAGGTAGCAAACCACTGGATGAGGTAGGGGTAAGTGCAGAAAACTCTTGTTCTTCATTTGAGATTTGCGATTACATGGCAGTACACTCGCAAAAATAAATTTCAAAACTAAAAGAAAGCCGGCGCCGTGGCTCAATAGGCTAATCCTCCACCTTGCGGCGCCGGCACACCGGGTTCTAGACCCGGTTGGGGCGCCCGATTCTGTCCCGGTTGCCCCTCTTCCAGGCCAGCTCTCTGCTATGGCCAGGGAGTGCAGTGGAGGATGGCCCAGGTGCTTGGGCCCTGCACCCCATGGGAGACCAGGAAAAGCACCTGGATCCTGGCTCCTGCCGTCGGATCAGCGCGGTGCGCCGGCTGCAGCGGCGGCCATTGGAGGGTGAACCAACGGCAAAGGAAGACCTTTCTCTCTCTGTCTCTCTCTCTCACTGTCCACTCTGCCTGTCAAAAAATTAAAAAAAAAAAAAAAAAAAAAAAAAAACTAAAAGAGCAAGAAGCGAACTTCAAACCAGCAGGTAGAAAAATTCAACAGCCTGACAGCTTTGAGGTTACTTAGAAGTCACAACAATCTGGAAGGTGCATGTAGCATTTAAGAAAAAACACACAACCCGAAACCTTGTCTGGTGTCAGTGTTACACAAAACCAAACTTTAAGTGAAATTAAGTCAAAGTGAAAAAATTCCACCAAACCTGCTCTAGCTTTGGTTCATGGCATTTCACCCTGCCAGAAACACAAATGGTAAGAGTTCAAGAGTGGACTTGCAGTTTCCACAGTGCAGTGGGTATCACGTTCGCCTGACAAGAGTGGACCCGCCACAGACAGAGAAGTGTGGGGGAGACACCATGGTCCTAAAGTTCTGACTTCCTGCTGCAAGAGGCCCAATGGACTCCACAGTGGGGTGCGTGCTTTCAGCCAGGGCAAAGTCATCTAAAACTAAGAGAAATCTGGAAACATCACAATGGCTTGTAAGAGTACAACATCTGTTCCTGCAGCCAACCATGTCAGTAGGTTCTGGTTATCTGTTACTTACATCTTGAAACATTTTGTTTTCTTGTTTCAGCCTAGCTTCTTTATCATCTGAGAGTTTGTAGGCGTTCTCAAACGCTTCTTCTAGATCTTGCAGTCTAGACTTGAGCCGCATGATGGTGTTGTCTTTTTCTTTATTACTTGTTCTCATCTCCTCAATTCGTTCCTGCAAAATTTTGGAAGCACTGCTGGCTGCACTGAAGCGTTCCCTCAAATCATTCTACAAAATAAAAACAAGCATAATTAATGATTTTAATTGAAAAAACAGACGTCTCAATAGTAACTATTAAATTGTGGGCATTAAAATGTAAAGGTAATAAAACAAACAAATGAAAATTAATTTAGGGGCTGGTGCTGTGGCACAGGTTAATCCTTTGCCTGCAGTACTGGCATCCCATATGGGTGCCGCTTTAAGTCCCAGTTGCTCTCTGCTGTGGCCCGGGAGGGCAGTGGAGAATGACCCAAGTGCTTTGGCCCCTGCACCCGCATGGGAGATCGGGAAGAAGCTCCTGGCTCCTGGCTTTGGATTGGCCCAGCTCCAGCCATCGTGACCATTGTGGAGCGAACCAGCGGCTTAAAGACCTTTCTCTCTCTCTCTCCCTCTCACTGTAACTCTCTCTCTCTCTCAAATAAATTAAGTCTTTTTAAAAATATTAATTTAATAGTTTGCTATGTTCTAGGCTGAAGGATCTAGAAAGGATTAACTACTAGAATAGCTCCATGAAATGCCTATATAATACAGACAGAAAACTACCATTCGAGGCACTGACTCTAGGACTCACCTAAAACGGTAGCTCTTGTGGGTAGGATCATGAGGAAAAAAAATAACATGGCTACTGGAAAAGATAAATTCTGAAATTCAGCTGCAATGTGCTCCTGAACACTGACAGTTGGGCTAAGAGAATATGACTTAGCCTATTTTCTCACTTACTCGAGAAACTACAACGATCTGAAAATTAACACATGTTGACAGCTTAGAAAAAGACAAGATAACTTTAGAAGTCTTTAAAAAGGCTTGGGGCTGGCAGTGTAGCACAGCAGGTAAGCCACTGCCTGTAATGCCAGCATGCCCCTGCTACCCATGTGGAAGACCTGGATGGAATTCCAGGCTGGGCCATTGCAGGCATGTGGAGAGTGAACCAGCAGATGGAAGATCTTTTTCACTCCGTCTCTATCTTTCAAATAAATAAATAAAATCTTCCCAAAAAAGGCCAAAAATAGAAACAACATATAAAACAAAACACCAAAAAAAGTATTTTCTATCAAATTTTGTTTATGAGATTGTGTGTCAAAGAGTAACACCTGAGGGCCAGAACTGTCACACAGCAGGTAAAGCCATTGCCTGCAATGCCGGCATCTCATATGGGCACCAGCTAGTGTTCCGGCTGCTCCACTTCCCACTCAGCTCCCTGCTAATGCGCTTGGGAAAAGCAGCAGCAGATGACCCAAGTGCTTGGGCCCCTGCTACCCACATGGGAGACCTGGAAGAAGCTGCTGGCTCCTGGCTTCAGCCTTGCAAAGCCCTGGCCCTTGTGGGCATCTGGGGGAATGAACTAGCAATGGAACATCTGTCTCTCTCTTAACTGTGACTTTCAAATTAATAAATAAATCTTTTAAAAAGGTAACTTTTGGTAATAGAGGAAAAGAAGTAATTTCCAATAAATTACTTTTCAATAGTTTTTGGGGCAGGCATTTGGCCTAGTGGTTAAGATGCCCACATCCCATACAGGAGTGCCTGAGTTCAGTAACTGCCTCCAGCTCCTGCTGGTGCAGAGCCTGAGGATGCTGTGCTGACGGATCAAGAAGCCGGGCCCTTGCCCTCCACATGGGATACCTGGAGTGGGGTCTTGGCTCCTACTTCAGCTTCAGCCAGGCCTAGCTACGGAAGGAATTTGGGAGTGAACTAGTGGCTGGAAGCGTGCTCTTGCTCTCTGCCTCTCAAATATATATATATATTATGGGCCATCTTCTACTGCTTCCCCAGGCCATAGCACCATAGCAGAGAGCACAATCAGAATATATATATATATAAAATTTATTTATTTATTTTAAAGATTGACTTTTTAGATTTTTAAAGATTTATTTATTTATTTGAAAGTTAGAGTTACACAGAGAGGAGAGGCGGTGGGGGGAGGGTGTCCTCCATCCACTGGCACACTCCCCAGATGGCCACAACAGCCAGAGCTGTGCCAATCCGAAGCCAGGAGCCAGGAGCTTCCTCCAGCTCTTCCATGCAAGTGCAGGGGCCCAAGGACTTGGGCCATCTTCTACTGCCTTCCCAGGCCATAGCAGAGAGCTGGATTGAAAGAGGAGCAGCTGAGTCTCGAACTGGTGCCTATATGGGATTCCGGTGCTTCAGGCCTGGGCGTTAACCCGCTGCACCACAGCGCCAGCCCCTCAAATAAATATATTTTTAAAAACTTAAAAGATACTCAAAAGAACAAAGAATATATGTGCACATAAAGTCTTGTATAAATTCATACTAGCCAAAAAAATGGGAAGAACCTAAACATTCATTATTAATGAACAGATAAACAAAACTGCTCTATCTATTCAACAGAGTGCAGTTGTTTTGTTTTTTTTTTTTAAGATCTATTTAGTTTACTTGAAAGTCAGAGTTGCACAAACAGAGGAAAGGCAGAGAGACAGAGAGGTCTTCCATCCGCTGGTTTACTCCCCAGATGGCCGCAATGGCTGGAGCTCGCTGATTCAAAGCCAGGAGCCAGGAGCTTCTTCTGGGCCTCCCACGCGGGTGCAGGGGCCCAAAGACTTGGGCCATCCTCCACTGCTTTCCCAGGCCATAGCAGAGAGCTGGACAGGAAGTGGAGCAGCCGGGTCTCGAACCGGCGCCTATATGGGATGCCGGTGCTTCAGGCTACCCCCAGAGTACAGTTTTAGTCATCAATAATAAGAAATCAAGTACTGACAAATGCTACAACATGGATGAGCCCTGAAAAAATTACATTAAGTGAAAGACACAAAGAAAATTATTTTACTGACAGCAATGTCCAAGTCAGGCAAATCTAGAGACAGAAAGTCAAAGTAGGGGCCAGTGCTGTGGTATAGCAGATAAAGCCACCATCTGCAGTGCCAGCATCCCATATGGGTGCCAGTTTGAGACCTGGCTGCTCCACTTCTGATTGTGCTCTCTGCTATGGCCTGGGAAAGCAGTAGAAAATGGCCCAAGTCCTTGGGCCCCTGCACCCGCGTGGGAGACCCAGAAGAAGCTCCTGGCTCCTGTCTTTGGATCGGCGCAGCTCTGGCCATTGTGGCCATCTGGGGACTGAACCAGCGGATGGAAGACCTCTCTCTCTCTCTCTGCCTCTCCTCTCTCTGTGTAACTCTTTCAAATAAATAAATCTTTAAAAAAAAAAATTACTGCCTGGGGCTGGCATTGTGGTGTAGTGGGTAAAGCCACCGCCTACAACACGAGCATCTCATATGGGCACCAGATTGTGTCCCAGCTGTTCCACTTCTAATTCAGTTCCCTGCTAATGGCCTGGGAAAAGCAGTAGAAGGTGGCCCAAATGGTTAGGCCCTTGCCACCCACATGAGAGATCCAGAAGAAGTTCCAGGCTCCTGCTTCAGCGTGGCCCAGTTCTGGCCCTTGTGGCCATCTGGAGAGTGAACCAACAGATAGAAGATATCTCTATCTCTATAACTCTGACTTTCAAATAAATAAATACAACTTTAAAATAAAATAAAAATGTTTTGTCTGTGTCTGCCTTTCAAATAAAATAAATTTTTAAAAAGGGGGGCAAGCATTTGACATCATGGTTCCAACGCCACTTGAGAGATCCATAAACGAAACGGAGTCCCTGGGCTCAACACCAGGCTCCAATCCCAATTCTAGCTTTCTGCTAATATGCACCCCTGGAAGCCACAGGTGATGGCTCAATGATTGGGTCTCTGGGAGATCCAGACTGAGTTCCTGGCTCCTGGCTTCAGCCTGAGCTATTGTAGACATTTAGGAAGTGAACCAGAGGAAGGGAGACCCCTCTTTCTGTCTCTCTCTGACTTTTAAGTAAAATAAATAAATGCTTTTAAAAATTAATTACAGAGATGGCTGTACAACACTGAATATACTAAAAACTACTGAATTACATACTTTAAAAGGGTGAGTTTTATGATGTACAAATTATATTCCAATTAAAAAACAAAAAACTTTAAAGGGTAAAAATTTATGATATTACATGAACCCAGCAGAACTGAAAACATAAACTTAGTAAGAAAATATCTTTAAAAATAAATACATAACCAATGTTATCAGCAATCTAGTCATCTGTCTTTCAAGTTCAATTAACAGAAAGGCTTTTTACCAGTCACCCAAAAAGTAAGAGTACTTACCACCTCTATTTCCAGTAAGTTATTCTTATTTTCAAGTGTTCTCACACGACAAGTAGCTTCATTCAAAGCATTATCTAATTGGCTACATCTAAAAACCATAAATTTAGTTTTAATTAGGAGAAAAAAACATTTTCCTTAAAAGTTTTATATAAATCTGATTCTCCAATACACAATGTTAGCAATTCTCCAGTGTTAGCTAAGACCCAGATGCCATTTATTACAGTATCTAGAGAAAACAGGTTAAAATAATGGGGGCTGGCACTGTGGTGCAGTAGGTTAATCCTCCACCTGTGATGCGGGCATCCCATATGGGCGCCAGTTCGTGTCCTGGCTGCTCCTCTTCTGATCCAGCTCTCTGCTAATGGCCAGGGACAGCAGTGGAAGATGGCCCAAGTACTTGGGCCCTGGCACCCACGTGGGAGACCCAGAAGAAGCTCCCGGTTCCTGGCTTCAGATCAGCTCAGCTCCAGCCACTGCGGCCATTTTAGGAGTGAACCAATGGATGGAAGACCTTTCTCTCTGTCTCTCCCTCTCAGATTAATAAAATTTTAAAAAAATAAATTAAATAAAATGATGGCATGCAAAGTCCTCTACAAAGCAGTAAGTGCAAAAAGTTACAGCACAAATAGAGGCTTGCATACCCATGTTCGTAGCAGTACTACTTCCAACAGCCGAAAGGCAGAAACCACCCAAGGTTCCTCAACAACTAAACAAGTCAACAAAGTGGGATCTGCACCAACAACGGGTCACTGAGTCTTAAAGGAAGGGAACTCTGATGCAGGCTCTGACACGGAGAATCGTGACAGTGTGCGGAGTGAGAACAGGAAGACACAAAGGACAGGTGTCATGACTCCAACACCAGCAGACACCAGAGCAGCCAAACTCACAGAAGCAGGAGTATAACAAGGTGGCGAGGGCTGGGGAACCAGTGTACAATGGGGACAAGAATTTCAGTTTGCCAGATGAAAAACCCTCTGGAGCAGACAGCAGGGATGGTTGCACAGCTATGTGAGTACAATTAAGTCTAAGAAGTATATACTTAAGGCCGGCACCGCGGCTCACTAGGCTAATCCTCTGCCTTGCGGCGCTGGCACACCAGGTTCCAGTCCCGGTCGGGGCACCGGATTCTGTCCCGGTTGCCCCTCTTCCAGGCCAGCTCTCTGCTGTGGCCGGGGAGTGCAGTGGAGGATGGCCCAAGTGCTTGGGCCCTGCACCCCATGGGAGACCAGGAGAAGTACCTGGCTCCTGCCATCGGATCAGCGCGGTGCGCCGGCCGCAGCGTGCCGGCTGCAGCGGCCACTGGAGGATGAACCAACGGCAAAAGGAAGACCTTTCTCTCTGTCTCTCACTCCCTCTCATGGCCACTCTGCCTGTCAAAAAAAAAATGTATACACTTAAAAATGGTTAAAATGGTAAATTTTGTGATGTTTATCTTATAATTTAAAATCAAAATTAAAATTTTTAAAAGTTATAAAAGACGGGATAAAATAGCATAATCTTAGTTGTGTAAAACATCTATAAAGAAAATTCAAACAGCTTGTAGAAAACAATTCAAAGATTTTAGTGACAGGTGCAGGGGTGCAACAGGTTCAGCATCCCTTATCAGGGTGCATGGGATCAGGTCCCACCTCCGCATCCCATCCAGCTTCCTACTAATGCACATCCTAGCAGACAGCAGATGACGGCTTAAGAATTTGGGTTCCTGGCTGGCGCCGCGGCTCACTAGGCTAATCCTCCGCCTGCGGCACTGGCACCCCTGGTTCTAGTCCCAGTGGGGAAGCCGGATTCTGTCCTGATTGTTTCTCTTCCAGTCCAGCTCTCTGCTGTGGCCCGGGAAGGCAGTGGAGGATGGCCCAAGTGCTTGGGCCCCTGCACCCGCATGGGAGACCAGGAGGAAGCGCCTGGCTCCTGGCTTCAGATCGGCACAGCGCGCCGGCCATAGCGGCCACTTGTGGGGTGAACCAATGGAAGGAAGACCTTTCTCTCTGTGTCTCTCTCACTGTCTAACTTTGCCTGTCAAAAAAAAAAAAAAAAAAAAAAAAAGAATTTAGGTTCCTGTAACCCACATGGTGTGTAACCCACATGTGCATCAACACCCCTTAAGATGACAAAAAGCTGGGCTGGCGCTATGGTATAGTGGGTAAAAGCTGCCACCTAGATGCCATCATCCCATGAGCACGGGTTCAAGACTTGGCTGCTCTACTTCTGATCCAGCTCCCTGCTAATATGCCTGGGACAGTGGCAGAAGATGGCCCAAGTCCTTGGGTCCCTTCGTCTATGTGGGAGACCTACAAGAAGCTCCAGGCTCCTGGCTTTGGACTGGCCCAGCTCCAGCCACTGTGGCCTTTGGGGAGTGAACCAGTGGATGGAAGACCTCTCTCTTAGGGTCAGCGCTGTGGCACAGTGGGTTAAAGCTCCAGCCTGCAGCGCCAGCATCCCATATGGATACCAGTTCGAATCTCGGCAGCTCCACTTCTGATCCAGCTCTCTGCTATGGCCTGGGAAAGCAGAAGATGTTCCAAGTCCTTGGGCTCCTGCAATCGTGTGGGAGAGCTGGAAAAAGCTCCTGGCTCCTGGCTTTGGATCAGCTCAGCTCTGGCCGTTGTGGTCATTTGGGGAGTGAACCAGCAGAATGAAAGACCTCTCTCTCTTTCTCTCTCTGGCTCTACTCTGTAACTCCTCTGTCTTTCAAAATAAATAAAAAGAAAAAAAAAAAAAAAGACTTCTCTCTGCTTCTGCCTCTCTGTAATTGTGCCTTTCAAATACATAAATAAATCTTTAAAAAAGGGGGGGGGGGGCCAAAATGTTAAGAAGACTGTTCTCGGCCGGCGCCATGGTTCAACAGGCTAATCCTCCGCCTAGCGGCGCTGGCACACCGGATTCTAGTCCTGGTCGGGGCACCGGATTCTGTCCAGGTTGCTCCTCTTCCAGGCCAGCTCTCTGCTGTGGCCAAGGAGTGCAGTGGAGGATGGCCCAAGTGCTTGGGCCCTGCACCCCATGGGAGACCAGGAGAAGTACCTGGCTCCTGCCTTCGGATCAGCGCGGTGCGCCGGCCGCAGCGTACCGGCCGCAGCGTACCGGCCGCGGCGGCCATTGGAGGGTGAACCAACGGCAAAAAGGAAGACCTTTCTCTCTGTCTCTCCCTCACTGTCCACTCTGCCTGTCAAAAAAAAAAAAAAAAAAAAGAAGACTGTTCTCAAAAGATCATCTAAATAGTTGGGGCCGGTGCTGTGGTACAGTGGTGCAGTGGGTTAACACCCTGGTCTGAAGCACCGGCATCCCATATGGGTGCCAGTTCAAGTCCTGGCTGCTCCACTTCCAATCCAGCTCTCTGCTATGGCCTGGGAAAGCAGTAGAAGATGGCCCAAGTCCTTGGGCCCCTGCACCCACATGGGAGACCTGGAAGAAGCTCCTGACTCCTGGCTTCGGATTGGCGTGTCTCCGGCCATTGTGGCCAATTGGGGAGTGAACCAGCAGATGGAAAACCTCTCTCTCTCTCTCTCTCTCTCTCTCTGCCTCTCCTCTCTCTGTGAAACTCTGACTTTCAAATAAATAAATAAATCTTAAAAAAATAGTTTATGTTAGCTATTTTACTATTGTCATCACCATACTGATTCTGATATGCCAGGATGACTGTCCCCTGAGAGTTGTAGCTGTGTGGCATCATAATCTGATATCGCAGCTGGTCTACAATATGTTAATGGTCCTATTTGCAGTATCTGTGGGATTCTCTAATTTGTAATTTTAAGCTTGAAAAAAAATAGATCAACACCCTGACAAACTGGTTTCTGACATGGGGGAATCATTTGTCCAGCCTAACATCACAACTTCTCATTCTGTTTCTACTGTCCCCTGTAACACACGGCATTTGCACTGCAAGCCAGACCCAGTCCCTCTCAGGCAGCAGTGTCCTGCCATTCACTCAGCAGGTCAGACGGCTGTCGGTCAAGGATGCACACTGCCATTTACTGAGACCCTGACTTCCCTCTACACCGCAGACATCCACCCTCTGCTCTCTGTGCCCTGGCACCTTCCAGACACGAACATGCTTTAGCCACAGTACTGCCTGTGCCTTCTCCAACACCTTGTCGTGAGCCTTGAAAAGTCCTCCAGTGGGCTTCTTTCAAAAACTTCGGTTTTCTAACTGTAAGTGCCTTAGTCAGCTTTGCCTTCTCAAGAAAACGCAGAAAGAAAAGAAAAACAATAGTCAACCTCCTCCAACCAGTTCTTTTTTGTCCTAAAAAAAATCTGAAATTTTTCTTAGCTCTTTTTAATTACCACTCCTCATCATTGCAGTCCCACCACCAAAGCAAAACGCAAGCTGAAAAAAACACTCAAGGATAAGACAGTCACAGTAACCAGTAACTAATCAGAACCAAGGCCAGTTTTCCTATACTTTTTTCTGTTTGTTTGTTTAAAGATTTATTTATGTATTTGAAAGGCAGAGTTACAGAGAGGCAGAAGCAGAGAGAGAGCAAGAGGTCTTCCATCTGCTGGTTTACTACCCAAATGGCTGCAACAGCCAGAGCTGTGCTGATCCAAAGCCAAGAGCCAGGAGCCAGGAGCTTCTTTCAGGTCTCCCATGTGGTGCAGGTGCCCAAGGACTTGGACGATCCTCTACTGCTTTCCCAGGCCATGGCAGAGAGCTGGATCAGAAGTGGGGCAGCAGGGACTCAAATCCACATGGATGCAGCACTGCAGGTGGCGGCTTAATCTAAAGCCGATGTCTTCTGCAGACCCCTCATTTGCATGCATATACTTACACATAAATGCAATATCAGTTTTGGAAGATGAAAAAAAACTAAAAATGGAGTTTTAGAAATGGGACAAATATCCCCACAGGCCCAGGAAAACTTGGTCACTTTAAAGTGAAGCACGCCTGGGCATTAAATTGGGAGAGAGCCAGCACACACTTTGTGTTAGGAGCACAGTGGTGCTTATCTTCCCATGAAGGACATCACTCAACACAGAAGCTGCTTCTTCTCCCTCTTTGCCCAAATGAAAAAATGGCTGCACGTCAGTCATTAGTGTTCTGTAAGACTTGGTCAGATCTTTAAAAATAACAATTTAGGCTAACATGGCTCTGTAAAATATCAGATCCAAAGAACATGCTTTTTCAAGCATTTTATTATAATATAACTCATACTATTGTGGAAATACTGCATCCACATTGGATAAATGCTAATTTCAGAGTTAAATAAGTTTTACCTGTCTACAAGAATCTGATTGGTTTTCTTCCAGTCTTCAACTGCAGAAATCTCCTTTGCCTCCAGCTTCTGTTTCAGACTAGCAATTTCTGATTCGTAATAAGCCCGAAGATCTGCCACATGCCGCGCATGCTTCTCTTTCAGGGTCTGCCTGATCCTGCTGGTGAGGGCAAAGCAGTCACGAGGAAGCACATTCTCACACACTGTCCTCCAGGAGAGAGCAACAACACAGCCAAGCTCCTAGCAAAAATACAGCCCATCTCCTCTGCACACCCACAGAAAATTAATTCACGAAAAGCTGACTGGTAAGCGGTGAAAAAAAGAACATCTAAAAGTGAAATAATCTATCTTAAAAGTGCTGTATCTTTTTCACTGAATATAAACATTACTGAAGTTCAATAAATATCATTCATCATTCAATCAGACATCAGAGAAAATCTATTAACATTACAAGCCATTCACTGAAATACATACTTAGACAATATCACAGGATCGTCCAAGGAAGTCAATGAAATGCATTCTGGGACACTGTTGGCTGTACCTGGAAGCTGGGACTGACTGACAGAGGCCGAAGCTACCAAGACAGTGTTTTCTTCGTCTACAGTGTTGACCGAGAGGTCATTACTAGCAACAGTGTACACCGAGGGAAACGTGGAACTGCTCCTACTTTCGTTTTGGAATGCATGATTCTTCCAAGAGTCCACTGGTGAAGCTTTGGTCTTTGAAGGATATTTTGGGAATCCAGGAGCAATGTTACTTGCTTGTGAAAATGAGTCTATGTCAGAGTGACTAGACACGCTAGGTTCTAGGACAGAATCTGGGGAAAAGGATATTCTGTCATCGAGGGCATTCAGAAAGTCCTGTGGTTGCACTCCCGAAACCTGCGGAATCGGCTTCATGGGTAGTGCTGAATCCAAAGTCAGTACCTAGAAGAAAGGCAGGACACAGGAATGCATCACGCTCCGGGCTCAGGGCTCCTTTTGTTTTCAGGCGAGAAGGCTTAAGCATACGATACACTCTACAGACAGGAAGCGTCTGTGTCACTCAGCACAACATTTACAACTTTGCCCTGGAAGCTGGTTTGGCTTAGAAGCAAAATTGGGACTCTCTCAGGTAACTGCTTGTTTGCTCTTTGTTTTTTATGACAAATATCCTTAAGCAATGGTAGCTTTATCTCATTACTAGCATTAGACTTGAAGAGATGAAAGAAAATTTATTCAGATGGTAGTATCAGCAATGAAAAAGATTTACTGATAACAAAATCAACACTATATAAAGATTTTTGAAAGATTTCAATAAACTCAAAATCCACATTATCAAGTTGATGACACATGCTTGGGATCACAGCGTCACCTCCCTCCTACTTCCTTCCCTAATGCTGATCTGCCTTTCCCTGAGTCTTTGCTCAAGGCTGGGGTGTTGGGTTTCTGCCACTCTCCAGGACTCTGAAGTTTACAAAGGACCTGGTGTCCCAGTGCCCCATCTGTCCACACACGTCCCTTGTTTTTTCTCCATTGGTCACTTCAGTTCTCTCTTCTTTTCCCAAATGTCTCTCATTACCTGACTGCAATAGAGCAGTGTAAGATGAGGGTACTTCAAAAACTGTGTGGGAACCCCCTGCCTGTACCCCTTGCATGCACAACTGAACAGTTCTAGTTCTTTGCTCTGAAACAAAACTTTACAATTCTTGAAAAACACTGGTGTAGCAAATTAAATTGCTCACAATTATTGTACAAGTGAATCAGTGGGAGGTATAACAGGATGGAAAAATCAAATATCAGGTCTGTAAAAAGGGCACAAGTTCACAGTTGAGGACCTATAATACATGAAATAGTAGGTGGGGCCGGCATTGTGAGGTACCAGGTAAAGCCACTGTCTGCAATGCTTGCAACCCATATGGATGACAATTTGAGTCCCGACTGCTCCATTTCCAATCCAGCTCCCTGCAAGTAGCCTGGGAAAAGCAGCAGAGGATGGCCCAAGTGTTTGAGCCCATTACCCATGTGGGAGATATGAAGAAGCTCCTGGCTTCTGGCTTTAGCTTGGCCCAGCCCTGGCCACTGAAGCCATCTGGGGAAAGAACCAACAGATGGAAGACCTCTCTAGATGGCCACAACAGCCAGGGCTGGGCTGGGCTAGGCAAAGGTCAGGAGCCTGCAGTTTCTGCGGGTCTCCCACAAGGGTACAAGGGCCCAAGCATTTGGGTCATGTTCCGCTGCTTTCCCAGGCCATCAGCAGGAAGCTAGATCTGAAGTGGAGCAGCCAGGACTCAAACCAGCACCCATATAGGATGCTGGCACCGCAGGTGGCGGCTTTACCCATTACGCCACAGCACTAACCCCAAATAAGTAAATCTTTAAAAAAGAAACAGTAAGCACAGAACTATCTCATTTAATTCATAAAATGCTAACCAGACATTTTCAGCTCTATTTTTAAGTAACTTTCCTAAGATTACGTAAGGATAAGTGACAGATGAAATTTAAAAGCCAACAAATCTAATTCTAAATTCCAAGCTTTTTCTAGTGTATCCAAAGTCAAAAGATACAAAAATTTAATGGACTTAATGGCAATCATAAAACATAAATACACATACACATAGTTACCTGTCTAGGTGACAGATCCATGGACGGGGTGGGGACAAACGTCTTCTCTAAAGTGTCAGGCAAAGAGTGATACAAGTCCTTCTCCTCCAGCTTCCAGTATGTCAGTCCTGAGGGCACAAGTGCACGGAACAGGGAGTTGTGAGGGAAGGAGACAACAGAGCTTTCTTGAGTGACACTGCTTACCTAAACAAAACTAAACATGGGAAAGAATCCGTTTTTGGCTACCTGGCTGCAGCAAGCTGAATTCTGACAGAAAAGAGTCATAAATTTATCATGAGTCCTAACCTGATGAAAATATTTAAAACTGGTTTATTAAAATTTAAGGTAGGGGCCAGCACTGTGGCATAATGGGTAAAGCTGCTGCCTGCAATGCTGGCATCCCAGATGGGCTCCAGTTCAAGTTCTGGCTCTACTTCCCATTCTGCTCCCTGATGTGCCTGGGAAAGCGGTGGAAGATGGTCCAAGTATTTGGGCCCCTGCATGCACCTGAGAGACACAGAAGAAACTCCTGGCTCCTGGCTTCAGATCACCTCAGCTTCAGCCGTTGCGGCCAGTAGGAGAATAAACCAGCAGATGGAAGACCTCTCTCTGTCTCTACCTCTCTCTGTAACTCTTTCAAGTAAGTAAAATAAATCTTTTTTTAAAAACGAAAGAAAACAGCAAGCACTGAGGGTAAAACTGTAAACCAAGAGAAGAGTGGGTATGCAGTGAGGCTACCTATGAGCAGGGTGGTCAGGGCTGGGAGTTCTCCCACATGGAGGATCGGGGAGAATAGTTCAATCAGAGGAAGAAGCCAATGGCAAAGCCCCAAGCCAGCTGCTATCTGGCATACTGGATCCAACAGCCCCCCAACTCAGAGAAGGGGAGAGCAGCAGGTGGCGACAGAGGCTTGATCCTGCTGCCTAGAGGGCCTCTGTAAGAACTCTGACTGCTATTCTGAGAGAACGGGCCACTGTGAGGTTGAGTGCAGACACATGGCATGACACCTTTCAAAGGCTCACTTGGGCTATGTTGGAGAACAGATTGGAAGAGAAAGAGTGGAAGCGGGAAACCAGCTTGGAGGCTTGCGGCCACTCAGTGGCAGAGGAGGTCTGTGAGGTGGAGAGAAGTGGCTGTGTCCTGGAAACCTTCATGAGGCAAAGCAAATTCGTCCTGATGAGCTAGATGTGGGATGTGCAGGAGAGGGAGTCAGAATATAAAGCAATTAAGATGAGAATAGCACACCACAAAATGTAAAGAATGGCTCACTGGGACCAGCACTGTGGTACAGCGGGTTAAAGCCTCAGCCTGGGAGCCAGCGCCATGGCACACTGGGTTAATCCTCCACCTGCGGCACCGGCATCCCGTATGGGTACCAGTTCTAGTCCCGGCTGCTCCTCTTCCAATCCAGCTCTCTGCTATGGCCTGGGAAAGCAGTGGAGGATGGCCCAAGTCCTTGGGCCCCTGCACCCATATGGGAGACCAAGAAGCTCCTGGCTCCTGGCTTTGGATCTGCGCAGCTCCGGCCGTTGCAGCCATCTGGGGAGTGAACCAGTGGATGGAAGACCTCTCTCTCTGTAACTCGTCTTTCAAATAAATAAAATAATTTTTTTAAATTTTTTGCCAGGCAGAGTTAGACAGTGAGTGAGTGAGAGAGAGAGAGAAAGTTATAGACAGTGAGAAAGGTCTTCCTTCTGTTGGTTCACTCCCCTAATGGCTGCTACGACCAGCGCTGTGCCAATGCAAAGCCAGGAGCGGGTACTTCTTCTCGGTCTCCCATGTGGGTGCAGGGACCCAAGCACTTTGGCCATCCTCCACTGCCCTCCCAGGCCACAGCAGAGAGCTGGAATGGAAGAGGAGCGACCAGGACTAGTACCTGGCGCCCCAACCAGGACTAGAACCTGGGGTGCCTCGCCACAGGCAGAGGATTAGCTAAGTGAGCCACGGCACCAGCCCAATAAAATAAATCTTAAAAAAAAAAAAAGATTGGGGCTGGCGCCATGGCTCACTTGGTTAATCCTCCGCCTTGCGGCGCCAGCATCCCATATAGGCACCGGTTGCCCCTCTTCAAGTCCAGCTCTCTACTGTGACCCGGGAGGGCAGTGGAGGATGGCCCAAGTACTTGGGCCCCTGCACCTGCATGGGAGACCAGGAGGAAGCACCTGGCTCCTGGCTTCGGATTGGCGCAGTGCACCGGCCGTAGCGGCCATTTTGGGGGTGAACCAACAGAAGGAATACCTTTCTCTCTGTCTCTCTCTCTCACTCTCTAACTCTGTCAAATAAATAAATAAATAAATAATTTTTTAAAAAAAGATTTATTTTAGGGGCCGGCACCATGATGCAGTAGGTTAATCCTCCGCCTGTGATGCCGGCATCCCATATGGGCGCCAGTTCGAGTCCCGGCTGCTCCTCTTCTGATCCAACTCTCTGCTAGGGCCTGGGAAAGCAGTAGAAGATGGCCCAAGCACCTGGGCCCCTGCACCCACGTGGGAAAACCAAAAGAAGCTTCTGGCTCCTGGTTTCAGATCAGCTCAGCTCTGGCCATTGTAGTCATTTGGGGAGTTAACCAGTGAACCTCTCTCTCTGTCTCTCCCTCTCACTGTCTGTAACTCTACCTCTCAAATAAATAAATAAATTATTTGAAAGACAGAGTTACAGAGAAGCTGTGCAGATCTGAAGCCAGGAGCCAGGAGCTTCTTCCAGGTCTCTCACGTGCGTGCAGGGGCCCAAAGACTTGGGCCATCTTGTACTGCTTTCCCAGGCCATAGCAGAGAGCTGGATCAGAAGAGGAACAGCCAGGATTAGGACCAGTGCCCATATGGGATGCCAGCACTTCAGGCCAGGGCGTTAACCTGCTATGCCACAGCACCAGCCCTTTCAATTTGTTAATTCATTCTGGAGCAAGTGGAAATGGTGGAGGCTTTTTGCAGCTAGCTGTTTAAAGGAATTGCAAAAGGGGCCTGCTGCCACCTGGGACATCAGCAGCATCCCATCGCTACTGGGGCTGTAGTTTATGCCTGATGGTTTTTAGCCATCAACCAACCTTTTTTTTTTTCCCTTGAATTGTAGTCTGTTCACGTTCTAGTTGCTCCACTTTCAATACAGCTCCCTGTAATGGCCTGGGAAAAGCAGCACAAGATGGCCCAAGTGTTTGGACCCCTGTCACCACGTGGGAGACCCAGATGAATCTCCTGGCTTCAGCCTGGCCCAATACTGGCTGTTGCAGCCCTCTGAGAGTGAACCAATAGAATGAAGATTCTCGCTCTCTTTCAAAATAAATAAATCTTTAAAAAAAACAATTGCAAAAGTACTTTTTCCATGTTCATAGAACTTGTAACCCAGATCTAAGCAAAGAGCGAAGTTACAGATTCCAGAGGCACACTACACTGCACTGATGGCATGTGACTGTCACACCAAGACACAAGTACCATACCTGTTCCTGAGTCAGACACCCAAGCAGTCGGGCTTTCATCCGGTTTATTGAGGTAAAAAGCACAAGGATGTGGGACAGCAGCAAAATCAGACTACAATTCAAGGGGAAAAAAAAAAAGGTTAGTTGATGGCTAAAAACCATCAGGCACAAACTACAGCCCCAGTAGCGAAAGCCAAGCACCAACCCAGGGCCAGGGAACCTTCAGAGGGTCATGGAGAAGAAACCCCGATGGACCCACAGCTGCAGGAATGGAGAGTGACAGCAGTCAGTAGTGAAAGATTTTCTTTGCCTGTGTAACCTACTGAAGTTTATTTTGGTTCTCTGTGGAGCTAGAAGAGAAAATTAGAGGTGTTATTGAATGATCTCAAAACTAAAATGTATTTGTAATTTGCCATCTACTTCCCAAGGAAACTTGGACTGCCTAGAATTAAAGTCATTTAGTATAAAAATTAATGTAAAAGCTGTAACAACTCATTTATTATCATTACAGTACATCAAATTAACTTTGACAAACATAAAGCAATAACATGAACCTAAAATGGCAGGTTACTTCTATACAATTGGTTACTAGTTCCAAAAAAAGGATGAAAATGCTTAGTCATCATTCCTGCCAACAAAAATCCCTAATCAGTCTCCCCTCACAATCTCTGACATTGCCACAAGAAATGTTTCCAGAGACATGTGACAGAAACATTTCTATCAAAAGTTTTCTTATCAGGGCCGGTGCCACGGCTCACTAGGCTAATCCTCCGCCTAGCGGCGCCGGCACACCAGGTTCTAGTCCTGGTTGGGGCGCCGGATTCTGTCCCGGTTGCCCCTCTTCCAGGCCAGCTCTCTGCTGTGGCCAGGGAGTGCAGTGGAGGATGGCCCAGGTGCTTGGGCCCTGCACCCCATGGGAGACCAGGAAAAGCACCTGGCTCCTGGCTCCTGCCACCGGATCAGCGCGGTGCGCCAGCTGCAGTGCGCCGGCCGCGGCGGCCATTGGAGGGTGAACCAACGGCAAAGGAAGACCTTTCTCTCTGTCTCTCTCTCACTGTCCACTCTGCCTGTCAAAAAAAAAAAAAAGTTTTCTTATCAGTTCCACCATCACTAAACTTTGCATTCTTGCTCCAAGTCCTTGTGCTGTATTTGCTTACAGTCCCCCAGGCACCCACTGCAAAAGCAGGGGCAGTGGGGACGACCACTCTGCTCTCCAGGAAGGGGACAGACCAACCGCATGAGCCGTACAGAGCACCACCCAGTCTCTCTCTAAAACCCCTAAGTCCTCTCTAGTCTCTTTCACTCGGGATGGAAAAGACCAGAAGGCAGCGACTACGGAAGACCAAGTCAAGTCATCGCAAGCAAAAGATGTTTGTCCCCATGCCGCTCTCAGTGCAAACGTCAATGCCCAGGCTGACGGACACAGAGGCTGGGGGCCTTCTATACACAGCTGCCTGCTGCACACGCCGGACAGATAAGGCAGCCAATGAAAACAGGCTCAGCTTTTGATGAAAAAATAAAAGCCCTAAAATGTAAACCTTCTTAACAAAGCCTCTGGCATCAGCCCAGCACAAGGACCTTAATCAGGAAAGTCTAGTGGCCCCCTGAGAAAGACACATGAAGCCCTGGAGCCTGGGAAAAGACAAAGACAAAAGGCCACAGAAACGAGAACAACCTGAGTGCTGGGAAACCCTTCTGCCAAGTTATAAATTCACAATTTCCAGATGCACGGCAAAGTGGCTCTTACCCAAAGCAAAACACCAGTGTGTAACAAAAACCTTGGATCCACAAATGAAGCTTAAGACACCGGAAGGAGAGAAAGGATCAAATAAGGAGGAACGCTATCCCTTTGTGAATCCTGAACGGTGCAAGCAGGAAATGCATTTCAGGAGTGGTGGTGCCTCTACTTCACCAACACCACTGCCTCAAAATCATTTGAAGTCCAAAAACCTCAAGTTAATTTGATTTCCTTAATGATTTAAAACCAAATATATCACTTGCCTAAAAAAAGGCAAAATAAAACCCTAGAGATGAGCAGAGAAAGCCTGGCAGGGAACACCACGTCCTCCCCGATGAAAAACACTCACCACTCACTGACCCCTACAGAAAGGGTGCTTCTGCCCTGCTTCTCCATGGAATCAAAGGAAAACGAGGCTAGGCCGGCAGGTGCCTGCTTCACTGCACATCGGGGTCCCCAAGGAGCTTCTGAAACTCCCAATGCACACCACGCGCCCACACCAAAGACATCAAATACCTGTGATGGGCAGCTGAGATCTTAAAAGCTCCTCGGGTGACTATCACACAGCAAAGTCTGGGAATCACTGGGCTGCACCAAAATTATACTGAGTTACAATTACAAAATACAACAAAAAATCAACAAAGCCACCCAGCACATAAACATCAACCAAAATTGTATCAGAAGTCAAGTCTGGGCCAGCACTGTGGAACAGATTAAGCCTCTGCCTACAGTGCCAGCATCCCATAGAGGCACCAGTTCAAGTCCTACTGCTCCACTTCAATCCAGCTCCCTGCTAATGCACCTGGAAAAGCAGCAGAAGATGGCCTGAGTACTTGGGCCCCTGCACCCCATGGAAGACCCAGAAGAAGTTCTTGGCTCCTTGCTTTGGCCTGGCCCAGCCCTGGCCATGCAGCCATTTGGGAAGTGAATCAGTGAATGGAATCTCTCTCTCTCTTCCCCTCCCTCTCTACTGCCCTCTCCTTCTCTCTGTAGTTCTTTCAAATAAATAAATAAATCTTAAAAAAAAAAAAAAGAAAAGAAAAAATGCAAGTCTCCGTAAGATGGTCTCAGTTCTAACCTAGCAAACGGGAGAAAAAGACAAGACTATGTAGGGAAACAGTCTCCCTCTGGGCCAATATATTCCAATGGAAAGGAAATTTTTACCCGAGCCGACTAACCCTGTTTATGCTCTCACCAAACAAGGATACACCACTCTTGATGGCATTTGGGTTCAAAACAACAGAACTGCTGGGTGGAAGGAAACCTGTCTAGAATAGAACTACCAGTAGAGAACCCAGGGACTTTTCTAGAACAGAGCTACCAAGTGAGAACTAAAGGGCTTCTCTAGAACAGACCTACAGTAGAAAAGTAAAGGGCTTTTCTAGAATAGAAGTACCACTTCAGCACTAACGGGTTTTCACTGTTCCCAAGACATTTATGAATTATGCAGCATCCCTACTCCTCAACCCAAATCTGAAAAAGTTCAAAGAACAGGGACATTTGGAAATCTAACTATTGCAAGTTAGAGAGAGAACACTCACTTCAAGAGAAACAGGGCCATATGGGGGCTGAGGGACTACCTTCTTATGACTTCTTTTTATGACTCCATGTGGGTACAGGGGCCCAAGTACTCAGACACAAAGACTGTTTCAGATGATCAAGACATAGCCAATTTCTAGAGGTATCAGGTTTGCAGAGACCTGATTTTTCAATTTCAATGTATTATACTAAACAATGCTAACCTAGGAAAATCTAAGCCAGTAAGGGCTACAAATGTGTACTGAAACTTACTACTGGGGCCAGCCCTGTGGCATAGCAGGTTAAGTCACCACCTGCAACACCAGCATGCCATGTGGGCGTCAGCTGACATCCCAGCTGCTCCACTTCTGATCCAGCTTCCTGCTGATGCACCTGGGAAAGCGGTGGAAGATGGACCAAGTGCTTGGGCCCCTGCACTCACATGGATGAAGCTCCTGGCTACTGGCTTCAGCATGACCCAGCCCTGGCCATTGCAGCCATTTGAGCAAACCTGCAGATGGAAGCCCTTGATAGCTCTTTCTCTCTCTCTCCCACCCTCTCCCCCCGTAACATATTCAAATAAATCAATAAATCTTTTTTTTAAAAAAAGGACTTAGTATCTATAATTCTTTAATGAAAGGAGCTACTAAGTTAGCAACAGGGCCACACAGAATTTAAACATTTAACCTCTTACAATTTAGATTATAAATTCATAATTGTCCAAATTTCAACTTTTTTATAATAAAGGCATCCTAAGGTATTCAACACACAACAGCACTGTTTTCTACAACTTAACAGTAATACAAAGTATTTGAAGGGCTTTTTTAAAGAATCGAATGGATTACTCTCAGACTAAATGTAAACATTGGAGGTACAAACACAAGTAGGACAGACCTCTGCAAGTGATTAGTATTTTCATACCATTTCATCCCTCATTAGCTTTGACTGACAACCTACAAAATAAACAATATTTGGGGCCAGTGCTGTGGCATAGCAGGTTACGCTGCTGCCTGCGATGCCAGCATTCCATGTGGGCACAGGTTCAAGTCCTGGCTGTTCCACTTCCCAATCCAGCTCCCTGCTAATGCGCCTGGGAAAGCAACAGCGGATGACCCAAGCACCTGGGCCCCTGGCACCCAGGTGGGAGACCCAGAAGCTCCTGGCTCCTGGCTTTGGCCTGGCCCAGCCCAGCTCTGGCCACTGCAGACATCAAGGGAGTGAATCAGCAAAAGGAAGATTTCTCTCCCTCTGTCTCTTCCACTCTCTCTGTAACTTTGCCTTTCAAATAAATAAAATTTTTTTAAAAAGCAGTGATACTTACAACAAATCGGTATTTCCAATCCTGAGACGCCAAAAAAGATTTGTAAATGAACAAATGAATAATACAAAAGAAGACAAAAAGTTATGCAGTGAAGCCAACATATTCAGCAGCAGCTGACATGTGGCGAGGAACGTGACTGAGCACCTACTTTCTCAACTGGTAACTTCTTGCTGTGTTCACTTCCTCGCTTAGATCTTGAACAGCCTTCTTCTACATGCGCCCTCTTTGGTTGGTTCTGCTTCAGCTTTTGTGCCCATGATGTTACAGATTTACTATTTAAGAAGAGAAAACTAAAATTACTTCTTTGAGACAGTATCCCCCACTATAAAGCCAAACTTGCATTTGTTGCATACTGTTGTGTCAGTGGCAAAGACTTTGAGGATTTTTTTCTAACAGTGGAAAGACGGTGTTAATTTCTTTTTCAATTCTAATTACCAAAGGCAAAGTAAACAAAAACACTAACAATGATTAACAACACACCAACTCTGTAGCCATAGAATACAACAAAAATGAAGACAGTGGTCCTGTCAAGTACAAGTGAAAGCATACTTACCGGCATGGGCTGGTAATTATACCTGATGGGAAGAAAGATTCGTACTGGTATGGCCAAACATGTCAGTATTTAAAACTGACGAATCTGAGGGAGGCATTGTGACGCAGGGGGTTAAGCTGCCAGCAAGCCGCAGCCTACAACCCATGTGGGCACTGACTGAGTCCCAGCTGCTCTACTTCCATCCCAGCTCCCTGCTAATGCCCCTGGAAAAGCAACAGAAGATGGTCCAAACCCTCGGACCCCTGCCACCCACGTGGGAGATCCAGATGGAGTTCCAGGTTCCTGGCTTCAGCCTGGCTTGGCCCTGTCATGGGAGGTTAGGCCCAGCTGGGGAGTAAACAGGCAGACAGAAGATCTTTCACTTTTTTTCCTCTCTCCCTACCTCCCCCTCTAACTCTGCCTTTCAAATGAATAATAAATATATCTTTAAAAAATAAAATGAAATTAATGAACTTGTTTATTTAAGACTGAGTGTGGGGCCAGCACTGTGGCATAGCAGGTAAAGTTGCCACCTGCAGAGCTGGCACCCCATATGGGATCCAGTTTCAGTCTTCCATCCACTGGTTCACTCCCCAGATGGCTGCAATGGCCAGAGCTGAGCCAATCCAAAGCCAGGAGTCAGGAGCTTCTTCTGAGTCTCCCACATGGGTGCAGGAGCCCAAGGACTTGGGTCATCTTCTGCTGCTTTCCCAGGCCATAGCAGAGAGCTGGATAAGAAGTGGAACAGCCAGGACTTGAACCAGAGCCCACATGGGATGCCCGGCACTGCAGACCGGGGCTTTAATCTGCTGTGCCACAGGGCCGGCCCCAGGACTTCTTAGTAAAAGAAACTATGGCTGAATGTGAAATAATCTTAAAATTTTGTAATATACCTTAATTTTTAAAATGTGCATCTCTGGGGCCGGCGCCGCGGCTCACTAGGCTAATCCTCCGCCTAGCGGCGCCGGCACACCGGGTTCTAGTCCCGGTTGGGGCGCCGGATTCTGTCCCGGTTGCCCCTCTTCCAGGGCAGCCCTCTGCTGTGGCCAGGGAGTGCAGTGGAGGATGGCCCAGGTGCTTGGGCCCTGCACCCCATGGGAGACCAGGAAAAGCACCTGGCTCCTGGCTCCTGCCATCGGATCAACGCAATGCGCCAGCCGCAGCGCGCCGGCCGTGGCAGCCATTGGAGGGTGAACCAACGGCAAAAGGAAGACCTTTCTCTCTGTCTCTCTCTCTCTCACTGTCCACTCTGCCTGTCAAAAAAATAAAAAAATAAATTAAAAAAAAAAATTTGCATCTCTGAAATATGCTATCTAAAGTGAGGTGAACTACACTTGAGCATAGGAGTCCCTGCCATCCACCTGGGGGACCCAGACTCAGTTCCCAACTCCTAGCTATAGCCTGACCCAATCCCAGATGTGGTGGGCATTTGGGGAGTGAATCAGTGGATAGGAGATCTGCTTCTCTCTCTTTCAAATAAATAAAAATTAAACAGAAAAATATCATTAACCTTACAAAAAATTCTTAATATATAAATAAAAAAGTTGAGGGACAGGTGTCGTGGTGCAGCAAGTTAAGTTGCCACTTGGAATGCCCACATTTCAGATCGGAGTGCTGGTTCAAGTCCTGGCTGCCCTGCTTTCAATCCAGCTCCCTGCTAATGCGCCTGGGAAAGCAGCGGAGGATGGCTCAATCACTTGGGCTTCTGTTACCCAGGCAGGAGATGTGGATGGAGCTCCTGGCTCCTAGCTTCAGCCTGGCCCAGCCGGGCGACTGCAGGCATTTGGGGAGTGAATCAATGGATGGAAGATCTTTGTCTGCCTTTCTAACTTTGCCTTTCAAATAACTAAATAAATCTTTTGGCCGGTGCCGCGGTTCAATAGGCTAATCCTCCACCTAGCGGCGCTGGCACACCGGGTTCTAGTCCCAGTCGGGGCGCCGGATTCTGTCCCGGTTGCCCCTCTTCCAGGCCAGCTCTCTGCTGTGGCCCAGGAAGGCAGTGGATGATGGCCCAGGTGCTTGGGCCCTGCACCCATGGGAGACCAGAAAAAGCACCTGGCTCCTGGCTCCTGCCATCGGATCAGCGTGGTGCGCCGGCCGCAACACACCTGCCGTGGCGGCCATTGGAGGGTGAACCAACGGCAAAGGAAGACCTTTCTCTCTGTCTCTCTCTCTCACTGTCCACTCTGCCTGTAAAAAAAAAAAGTTTTAAAAAATTATTTTAACTGGTAAGTGTTCAAATACATCTTATTTTTTATAGTCCAACTAAAAGGAACTCTATTTCCGAGATTCCAAACATGGCAAACGAGTAACACTCCCTTCAAATAATACAGAAATTCTAGTCACCTGTTTGTTTTCCCACTGTATACTTCAGAAATCTTATTTTCCTCAAGAAAATTATGTTCAAATTCACCAGGAAAAATGGAACACTCTTCCTTTAAAGAGTCACAAAACTCTTTGGTGGTCTGTATGTAACATTTCTTGTTTTTCATGCCACCCACAAGTGAATCTGTCTGCACCACTGGTGCCCCATACTGTCCTTTAGAAACATCTGGGTGCTCCATGAACTCCTGGGTGTCCTTGGACTTGTCAGTATTTAATTCTGACACACAGAAGGTACCATAGCCACTGCTCACTGAGCTGCTATCCACGTTGCAGTCTGGTTGTGATGTGGACGTCTCGTGCTGCATCTCAGGTTCTTTTGACTTAGGGTAGCTGACAACACATTCATTTCTTTCACTGCTTTCAGAAAAAAAACCCATTTGACTTTCTGAAGATGCCTGTTTGCTGGAAGAACTTTTCTCACAGGAAACCCAGGAAGCATTACTGGTCTGCAGTTTGACTAAATTTTTTATCTCTTCCTGTATACGCTAGAAAGAAAAAAAATTATAGGCTTGCATCAGAAAAGAACATTAAACATCACAATTTTGTAAACATTATGAAAATATTGTGTTTCAAAATACAATGAGATGGGGCTGGCACTGTAGCATAGCAGGTCAAGCCTGCACGCCATCATCCCATACTGGGTCCCCGGCTGCTGCACTTCCAATCCAGCTCCCTGTTAATGCACCTGGGAAGGCAGCAGGTTTGGGCCATCCTGCACCCACATGGGAGACCCAGAACCAGTGGCTCAAAGATCTCTCTGTCTCTCCCTCTTTCTGTGTTAACTCAGCCTTTCAAATACATAATATTTTTTAAAAAACATGAGTTATTACTCTAAAAATAAAATGATGTTTTATCTTTTGTTATAAACAAAATTGACTTAGCATTTTCTACAACTCTTATAAATAGGAAAAAAGAATACAAATCAAAACTTACTTGAATTTGGTTGTGGAACTGTTCCTGCTGGGCAACAATCTGTTCTTGGCATTGCTTTTCCACCAAACTGAATAGCTGTGACCACCTGGCCTATTAAATCATAAAATCCTGCAGTCAAACATAATTTCAACTTAATATTTCACAGTAATATTCTTCCAGTGACAACTGGCCTTTTTCTGAAGTTTTTAAAATGACAAATATATCAGCCAAATTAAGCAAACAGATGTAAATATATATTTAAAACAAAAATAGGATAAAGGCCTGGGTACCCCCGTGGGTAACCTGCAGTCTGGGAAGCTGAAGGTCTACATAGATCGCCAGCTGATGCCACCTGCTGTCCCTTCTGACCAAGAACTCGCACTTGCACTTCACATTTATCTTAAGTGCTTTGTCCTTCCCTCCCAACAGCTAATGACTTCTGTTAAACACTGATATATCCAGAAAAGGATCCCACATCCTAAAACAAGAAATAGCTTGGTTTTATGAGAATTTAACTCCCTAACTTAATTGCTTTTCAAGTAAAAGTTCTCTTTAATGTAAGATATTAAAGTGCTTCAAAAACCCTTGAAAACTGAAACATGAATGAAAAAATGGCTCAGAAAACCTGAGGGGTGGGAGGACAGATACGGTGGGAAGATCACTATATTCCTAAAGTTGTACTTATGAAATTTGTACTCACTAAATAAAAGGTTTCTTTGGGGGCAGAAGGAGGACATAAAACTATGGAACTGGCCGGCGCCACGGCTCACTAGGCTAATCCTCCGCCTTATGGCGCCGGCACACCGGGTTCTAGTCCCGGTCGGGGCGCCGGATTCTGTCCCGGTTGCTCCTCTTCCAGGCCAGCTCTCTGCTGTGGCCCGGGAGTGCAGTGGAGGACGGCCCAAGTGCTTGGGCTCCTACACTAACGTGGGAGAACCAGAAGAAGCTCCTGGCTCCTGGCTTTGGATCGGCCCAGCTCTTGCCATTGCAGCCATTTTGGGAATGAACCAGCAGATGGAAGACCTTTCTCTTTCTGTCTCTCTGTCTGTCTGTAACTCTGCTTCTCAAATAAATAAATAAATAAATAAGGAGTGTTCACAATGAAACAGCAAAGTCCTGATGAGCCAGGGTAAATTAAATCTTTCTCTTAGATCCGGCATTGCGGTGTAGCACATAAAAGTTGCCACCTGCGACACTGGCATCCCATATGGGTACTGGTTCATATCCTGGCTGCTTCACTTCAGATCCTGCTGATGGCCTAGGAAAAACAGAAAAAGCTGGCTCAAGCATTTGGGCAGACCTGGATGATGCTCTCTCTTCTATCTCTCTCTCTCTCTCTCTGTTAATTCTTAAAAACAAAAAACTAATTTTTTTAAAAAAATGAATATATAAGCACTGCATCTCATGAGTGCCAATCTAAATCCCAGCTGCTCCACTTCTGATCCAGCTGCCAGCTAATGCGCATGGGAAAGCAGAAGAGAGAGAGAGAAGCAGACAGAGGTCTTTCATTTGCTGGTTCATGCCACAAATAGCCACAATGACCAGGGCTAGGCCAGGCCAAAACCAGGCACCAGGAACTTTTTCCGGGACTCCCACATGGGTGCAGGGGCCCAAGCAGTGGGCTATCTTCCGCTAATTTCCAAAGCCCATTAGCAGGGAGCTGGATCAGAAGTAGAGCAGCCAGGTCTTGAACTGGGGCTCACATGGGATGCCAGCATCTGAGGCAGAGGCTTAACCTACTATGCCTTAACGCCAGCCCCTCACTTAATTACTAAGAAGAGTTATTATTCAGGTCAAACCAGAATGGTTCACACAATCCACACTGTACACTTCGGAATAGGACACAGACATCTAATGAGGTTTTCACTCCACATAAGTTTTAGTGCCATTATAACCTGAGTCGGACTTCCAGTCTAGCCCGGTAAATATCCCACTGGCTTTAGCATCCTAGATGTGACTCTCAGCTCTCCACTAATAAACAGGGAGATCCTGGAAAAATAAAATTTAATTTCTCTGTGTCTCAGTTTCCTGATTTATAAAATGAAAATAACACCTCAAGGAGGCTGGGAGGATTAGATTTTAGATAAGGTGCAGGGAAAGCACTGTATTTCAAAACGAGAGACATACTTTCTTTTTTTTTTTTTTTAAGATTTATTTATTTTATCTGAAAGGCAGAGTTTCAGAGAGGCAAAGAGAGATCTTCCATCCACTGGTTCACTCCCTAGATGGCCACAACAGCTGGAGCTGAGCCGATCCGAAGCCAGGAGCCAGGAGCCAGGAGCCAGGAGCTTCTTCTGGGTCATCCAGAAGGTTTGGGACATCTTTTCCTGCTTTCCCAGGCCATAGCAGAGAGCTGGATCAAAGAGCAGTAGCCGGGACTCAAACCAGTGCCCATCTGGGATGCCAGCACCACAGGCCAGGGCTTTAAACGCTACACAACAGCATCAGCCCCGAGACCTACATTTTAGAAATCAGTGAGGTCATGGTCACCACAAGGGTGGGGAGCGCCACTGGCATTTAGTGGGCAGGGTCCAGCAGTGCAAATCATGACTATCCCCCACAATAACGCACTGTCCTGTGTCCATTTTATGTCATAAAATCATAAATATTTGGGGGTTAAGAGGTGGGGATTAATCTGTAACAATAAGTATTTTTCAGTTCTCTTATCACCCAAAACAACATCAAGGTTGGATAGCATTTCAGGAAGGCATTTCACCAGTGAAGGGACTGCTCAAAGTGTCTGGATCATCCGTCCCACTGCCCACTCGTCTGCATCTGGAGCCAGAACATTCTGCACAGCCAGCCTGCAGACCACTCCTTCCATTCTCTCCAAAACACTACACTAAAACAGCAAGGGGATTTTGTTTGTTTTCAGGTTATTGTGAAAAACACTAGAAAACACACTAAATAAGTTCAAGAAATGTTACAGAAGAGAACTTCATGTTCTGCCAAAGTAAGAAATAACTTAATGACTCTTCTCTGAATAACCACTGATGTGACTCCAGCTTCACTAAAACTGGGTAGCCAGCTAATGACCTATGACACCACAGCTACAGAAGAAAGCACGGAAGAAACAGCTTCAAATGTTAGGAGGTGGAAGCAGCTTAGAAAATTCTGTATCTTAAATTCACAAATATATTCTGATTCTGACTTAAGGCATTGATCTCAAAGTATTAAAAGAAAAATTTCTAGTCAAACATGAATTTGCCAAGAGTTAAAACTACATTGTGGGGGCCAGCGCTGTGGCAAAGTTGGCTAAGCCTCCGCCTGCAGCGCCAGCATCCCATATGGGCACCGGTTCAAGTCCTGGCAGCTCCTCTTCCGATCCAGCTCTCTGCTGTGGCCTGGGAAAGCAGTAGAAGATGGCCTAAGTGCTCCAGCCCCTGCACCCACATGAGAGACCAGAAGAAGCTCCTGGCTCCTGGCTTCAGATTGGCACAGCTCCAGCCATTGCAACCATTTGGGGAGTGAACCAGAGGATGGAAGATCTTTTTTTCTGTAACTCTACCTCTCAATAAATAAAATCTTATTTTAAAAAATTACATTGTAACAATGCCTCATTTGTCATAAAGTATGTTAGTTCAGTTATCATAAGCTAATGAACAGATACATTAGAGAAAACATCTAATAACAATTCCATTTTTAATGGCTTTTTTTTTTTTTTTTTTTTTTTTTGACAGGCAGAGTGGACAGTGAGAGAGAGAGACAGAGAGAAAGGTCTTCCTTTTGCCGTTGGTTCACCCTCCAATGGCCGCCGCGGCCAGCGCGCTGCGGCCAGCGCGCTGCGGCCGGCGCACCGCGCTGATCCGATGGCAGGAGCCAGGAGCCAGGTGCTTTTCCTGGTCTCCCATGGGTGCAGGGCCCAAGCACCTGGGCCATCCTCCACTGCACTCCCTGGCCACAGCAGAGAGCTGGCCTGGAAGAGGGGCAACCGGGACAGAATCCGGCGCCCCAACCGGGACTAGAACCCGGTGTGCCGGCGCCGCTAGGCATTTTTAATGGCATTTTATAGGTCTTTCATATTAGCAAATACTGATTGGTAAATGGGAAAAGGATAAAAAGTATAAAAACCAAAAATTCCTAACTTAAAGTATGCAATAAATCATTCTGTAACTTCAATAATTATGGATAATTTTTTTTTTTTTTTTTTTTTTTTTGACAGGCAGAGTGGACAGTGAGAGAGAGAGACAGAGAGAAAGGTCTTCCTTTGCCGTTGGTTCACTCTCCAATGGCCGCCGCGGCTGGCGCGCTGCGGCCGGCGCACCGCGCTGATCCGATGGCAGGAGCCAGGAGCCAGGTGCTTTTCCTGGTCTCCCATGGGGTGCAGGGCCCAAGCACCTGGGCCATCCTCCACTGCACTCCCGGGCCACAGCAGAGAGCTGGCCTGGAAGAGGGGCAACCGGGACAGAATCTGGCGCCCCGACCGGGACTAGAACCCGGTGTGCCGGCGCCGCTAGGCGGAGGATTAGCCTAGTGAGCCGCGGCGCCGGCCTGGATAATTAATTTAAGTAATTACTCTTGGGGATGCTGCTACTGTAGAGTAAATAAGGCCGTAACCAGAGACAGAGAAAGGAACATGGACCCCCACTCCACCCCCACCGACACTGACCTTGAAAAGTGGCTACTCCCAGCTATCTGGTGAAGGAGCCACACACGCACGGTTACCTTGTCGAGGGAGGGAAGATGCCCTAAAGTCTGCTTTCTGGAACTCCACTCAAAAATTCGTCCTATAAATCTGCCCCAGATATCTCTTTTATAAACATACTGGGCGCAGGCCGGCGCCGCGGCTCACTAGGCTAATCCTCCGCCTAGCGGCGCCGGCACACCGGGTTCTAGTCCCGGTTGGGGTGCCGGATTCTGTCCTGGTTGCCCCTCTTCCAGGCCAGCTCTCTGCTGTGGCCAGGGAGTGCAGTGGAGGATGGCCCAGGTGCTTGGGCCCTGCACCCCATGGGAGACCAGGGAAAGCACCTTGCTCCTGGCTCCTGCCATCGGATCAGCGTGGTGCGCCGGCCGCAGTGCGCCGGCCGCGGCGGCCATTGGAGGGTGAACCAACGGCAAAGGAAGACCTTTCTCTCTCTCTCACTGTCCACTCTGCCTGTCAAAATAAATAAATAAATAAATATCAGATGGTCTTTAAAAAAAAAACAAAAACAAAAAACAAAAAAAACACATACTGGGCCCATGGATCATTGGAAGTGTGGTCCTAAGTCACATAGGCTGCAACTGAACAGTTAGAGTACCAGAACTCTAACTGTTCAGGTATGATGGCTGATGAACCTATAAATATTGTTAAGTCTGAGCCTAGGTCAGGGCTCAGGCTCAGGAAATGGCTCCAGCTGCTTGGATCCTCGACTGTCTCTGGTGCTGTGTGAACGAAGGGGGTTTTCCCACCCCAGGTTTCTGTAACACTACCAAACTCTCAGACCAGGTAACCTTTCACTGCATGTACTTTCCACTCTGGAAAAATGCAGAAATTACAGTTCTAAAAGAAAGATCAACATTTAAAACAAAATCTGGTGCTAACTAAAAAATTTATTTAATACTGGTAATATTTTCTGTACTCTGATAAAGCATGACCAACTCTAGCCTTGGGAAAGTCAATCTTGACCATTATTCTATGAAACAAAACTTACAGTATTTTTTCAAGTGTTAAATTTTCTGTATCAAAAGAAAAAGGACCACTGCCCTAACAACACAACGTAACATCTCCCAGCTGAATTTAAACAGGCACCTAAGAGAAAATTTATAATTTTAAAACACCCAAAATCCTTCAAAGTAGACTCAGACTTTTCAAAATGATAATTCCATATGACTTACATAAAGCATTAGGATTAGCAACAATTTCAAGACAACATTTTAGGTTCACCTGTAATATACAAATTAGTAAGTCTAATCTCTCAACTATTGGTTAAAACACACTTCTGATCACCGTCTCTTCCGTTCAATATCATTTCCACTGGCCACATTATCTTAGCAATAATTGAAATATTATCATGTACTCCAGGACATAAGTTGCTACTAATTTAAAGTTTAGTAGAGGCATATAAAGATGTAATTACTTTAAAATTACAAAGATAAACAGAACGCGATACCTCACAGTTTTTCCAAAGCTCCGAATCTGTCTTCCCACTGTTTCGCAGCTCTTGCATGAAAGAGGTTAGGACTTCAACTGTGCCTTGAATGACAGAGGGCCCGGTCTTCCCTGAGAAAGAGGATACCCCATTGGTACTAAGGTGGTGACTACTTCTGTTGAAACATAAATAATTCAGATGGTTGTCTTCATTCTACCAAAGTGTTGAATAATTCAGCAGTTCAAGATTTAGCAGAGCAGCACAAAACCAGTGACACTGAATCCTTCTAATGGCACCTCATTTGTTGAAAATCTGATCACAAGTTTGCCCCCGAAAGGAAAACAGCAGTAAGAGACAGCACTTTTTCAAGAACACAAAAGGCCTCCCAAAGGAAGCGGATGCTCCAAGGTAGCTGCAGAAAATCAGTTTGTGCTAAACAATAAACAACAACCCCAGCCACTCTGATCTCCATTAATTACTCCAGAGGATCATTTCTGCCCACTCCAAGAACAGCCCTTCACTGTGAAGTGGGCACTCTCTCACCGCCCGGGACTACAGGCGCGTCTCGTTAATTGGATCCCCCCAATTTGGTGTGGTATGTGATGCTTATCTCTGCACTGCCATGGAATCAAAGTCAAGCCAGGCAAATCCGCAGCAAATTTTCAAGACTTAGTCGATTTAGTGTGAAAACAGCACTGATTCCAAAAGGACTGCTTTTCCAAACTTGACATGGCTTTCACACTGTTTAATGAAAAACACAAGGCCTAATGCAAGACACTGAAATCTGTTCCAAATCCAGCCACTGAAAGGTTTTCATTGACTGACTGATACCCTGTTTTGTTTCTCAAAGAAATTCTAAAATATTGGACAGCAAATGAAAATAACAATAAAATAATGCGGTCAGAGAACAGGCTGATAAACACTCAAGGGAAAGAAGAACCTGACGGTTGTCCGCAGCAGTTTACACGATCGTAATGCGCTAGGCTGAATGCGCTGACTGAACTGCCAGTCCCTACGGAAAGGGAGACAAGCTCAGGGCCGCCATTTTCATCTGGGTTCCTCCAGGCCCATCAGCCCCTGTGTTCTGAGAGGGACTTTCCTTCAGGTGGCCCTCAAAGGGGCCACCAAGTGCTACAGCAGATGCGATGTGCGGCCAGCTTTCAGCACGAGCATCCATGTGACCAGAGCACACACCTCTCTCAGACCATGTCCTGTGCTTTTTAAATTTTCCTTTCACCTCACTTTAATGCACGCTCTCTCGTTTTATCTAATATATTCTAAGCTGCCTCAAATCCCTACCAAAGAGGGAAGGGAACAATCACAATAATTTACTGACAACACAATTGCTTCCGGACCCCAGGGTTTGCCCCTGCCCAGCAGGCCCCAGGCTGCCGTCCTGCTTTTACTGCTCCTCTCTCTAGTGGTCTTACTTCTGGGCTGCCCGTAAGCTACTACAAATTCAAAAACCAAACAACCAAGCTAGTCAGACCACAAATAGACTGAGGGTAAACCAGTTCTGATCCAAAACAAACTATGGAATAGTTTAAAAACCAAATGCATTTCAATTGATTATGTTCTCAACTCAACTGATTTTCTGCTAACTTCCAATATTCAACTTTAAACTTTTATTTTTTTTAAGATTTATTTATTATTTACTTGAAAATCAGAGTTACACAGAGAGAGAAGGAGAGGCATAGAGAGGTCTTCTATCTGCCAGAGCTGCGCCGATCTGAAGCCAGGAGGAAGGAGCCCCTTCCAGGTCTCCCACACGGGCACAGGGGCCCAAGGACTTGGGCCATCTTGTACTGCTTTCCCAGGCCATAGCAGAGAGCTGGATCGGAAGAGGAGCAGCTGGGTTTCGAACCGGCGTCCATATGGGATGCTGCACTGCAGGCAGCAGCTTTAGCTGCTACGCCACAGTACCGGCCCCCTAATATTCAACTTTAATGGCTACTTCCCAGATTAGTGAGGTATTTCTGCAGTATAAAACATTATTTGTACCATTAATTTAAAAATATAGAATATTTAGGCAACTATACTTTAATACTTGTTAATTTACCAAAAGCAAAGACAAAAAAAAAGGAGAAAGGAAACTACAACTAGCAAAATAATTTATTTTTCACAATGTTCTCCATTCAAAATATTTCATTTCTGGAGAAATTAAAAACAAAAGGATGGCCGGCACCACGGCTCACTAGGCTAATACTCCGCCTGCGGCGCCGGTACCCCGGGTTCTAGTCCCAGTTGGGGCACCAGATTCTGTCCCAGTTGCTCCTCTTCCAGTCCAGCTCTGGGGGCTGGCACTGTGCGTAGTAGGCTAAGCCTCTGCATACTGTGCCGGCATGCCATACAAGCACCAGTTCATGTCCCAGCAGCTCCTCTTCTGATCCAGCTCTCTGCTGTGGCCTGGGAAAGCAGAAGATGGGCCAAGTACCTGGGCCCCTGCACTCACGTGGGAGACCCGCAAGAAGTTCCTGGCTTCTGGCTCCAGAAGGCTTAGCTCCAGCTGTTGCAGTCATTTGGGGAATAAATCAACAGACAGAAGACCTTTCTGTCTCCCACTGTCTACAACTCTACTTCTCAAATAAATAAATAAAATCTTAAAACACACACACACACACACACACACACAAAAGGATTACAACTACTCTTTGGGGCCAGCGCTGTGGCATAGCAGGTAAAGCCACTGCCAGAATTCCACGTGGGCGCTGGTTCGAGTACCAGCTGGGTCTACTTTTTTTTTTTTTTTTTTTTTAAACAGGCAGAGTTTAGACAGAGAGAGAGAGACACACAGAGAGAGACAGAGAGAAAAGTCTTCCTTCCCTTGGTTCACCCCCCAAACAGCTGCTACGGCCGGTGCACTGTGCCAATCCGAAGCCAGGAGCCAGCTGCTTCCTCCTGGTCTCCCATGTGGGTGCAGGGACCCAAGCACTTGGGCCATTCTCTGCTGCCCTCCCAGGCCACAGCAGAGAACTGGACTGGAAGAGGAGCAACTGGGACAGAATCCGGCGCCCCGACTAGGACTAGAACCCGGGGTGCCGGTGCCGCAGTCGGACAATTAGCCAAGTGAGCCGCGGCGCCGGCTGGTCTACTTCTGATCCAGCTCTCTGCTATTGTGCCTAGGAGAGCAGGAGAGCAGCAGAGGATGGCCCCAGTACCTGGTCCCCTGCACCCACGTGGAAAACCCAGAAGAAGCTCCTGGCTTTGGATTGGCCCAGCTCTGGCTGTTGCAGCCATTTGGGAAGTGAACCAGCAGATAGAAGATCTTTCTATATATATAACTCTGCCTTTCAAATAAATAAATTAAAAAAAAAAAAAAACAGTATTTTGAAATAACTCTCCCTGAACAGCTGTTTTAAAAAATACAATCGGGGGCCAGCACTGTGGAACAGCAGGCTAAAGCCCTGGCCTGAAGCGTGGCATCCCATATGGGCGCCAGTTCCAGTTCCAGCTACTCCTCTTCTGATCCAGCTCTCTGCTATGGCCTGGGAAAGCAGTACAAGATGGCCCAAGCACCTGGGTCCCTGCGCCCACGTGGGAGACCTAGAAGAAGCTCCTGGCTCCTGGCTTCGGATTGGCACAGCTCCAGCCATTGCGGCCATCTGGGGAGTGAACCAGCGGATGGAAGACCTTTGTCCCTACCTCTCTCTATAACTCTGTTTTTCAAATAAATAAAAATAAAAAATAATTTAAAAAATGAAAAAAATCTTAAAAAAAATACAATCAGAAGACCGACGCTGTGGTGTAGTGGGTAAAACCACCACCTGCAGTGCCGGCATCCCACATGGGCGCTGGTTTGAGTCCAGGCTGCTCCACTTCTGATCCAGCTCTCTGCTATGGCCTGGGAAAGCAGTACAAGATGGCCCAAGCCCTTGGGTCCCTGCACCCACATGGGAAGACCAAGAAGAAGCTCCTGGCTCCTGCCTTCAGACTGGTGCAGCTCCAGCCATTGCGGCCAACTGGGGAGTGAACCAGCGAATGGAAGACCTCTCTCTCCCCTTCTCTCTGTGTGTAACTCTGATTTTCAAACACATAAATAAATCTTTAAAAAAATACAATCAGCAACTATGACACTATTTAGATAAATTGGTATCCCATGCAAATAGTTATTATAATTTGTTATATTAAAAAATATCTGCCCCATTCTTACCTATTAGAGTTTATGTTAAGTCCAAGAGAATGGGGAGAATTTTTGTTATCAGATTCCACAGAAGATGTTCGCTGTATCGTTTTTACCAAATCAAAATCTTCCATAGTGTACAAACTGTTATACTCTTTTATTTGAAAATATAGGTTCTTTCACTGTTTGAGGAAACTGAATCCGAGTCTTCCTCAGACGTTTCATCGTCTATCGGCATTTTCAGTCGCTGACATTCAGAAGTCTGAGAGATCCTAAGCTTGCAAGAGGGTCTGAAAGTGAGAGGGGAAAGATTACTAAAAAAAGCCACTAAACCCAACACTGTCTTTTCATGACTTTGGAAACCCAGACTTGGGCCACACACATCTGCATCCAGGACAGCAACAATATCCTGAGGACTGAATGCAGAGACTACTAGACGGCCATCAGCAGATGCAGGATGAACAACCGTGGCACATCCCTGTACGGAAAACTGTGCGGGTACAGAAAGGAAAGCTGTACTGATAGAGGCAGCGTGGGTAACACGTGAAAACACCAGGCTAGGTGGCAGTCAGTCACAGAAGCCCACGGACCCCGTGATTCTACTGCAGATACCTACACCAGGGAAACCCACTGAGACCCAAAGGGGACTGACCGTTAGCCAGAGCTGAGGGGAGGAGACCCGGGAAGGACTCCAGTGGGTATGAAGCTTCTTTCTGGGGTGATGAAAAAGTTCTAGGATGAGTGGTGAGGGGTGAGCAGCCCTGCGAGTACACCGCACTGTACACCTTCGAAAGGACAACTGTTATGGTATGTGACTATATACCTCAACTTTGAAAACCTATTTTAAGGGTGGTTTGCAAAAATAGTAGCATCTCTTCAGGTAATACTTCAGCATGGCATTTTTAATAATCAAGGTTCTAGGCCGGCGCCGCGGCTCAGTCGGGGCGCCGGTTCTGTCCCGGTTGCCCCTCTTCCAGTCCAGCTCTGCTGTGGCCCGGGAGGGCAGTGGAGGATGGCCCAGGTCCTTGGGCCCTGCACCTCATAGGAGACCAGGAGAAGCACCTGGCTCCTGGCTTCGGATCGGCCATCTGGGAGGTGAACCAACGGAAGGAAGACCTTTCTCTCCGTCTCTCTCTCACTGTCTAACTCTGCCTGACAAATAATAATAATAATAATAATAATAATAATAATCAAGGTTCTAGGCACAGACTCCATTATGTAACGATGGAGCACTCACATGCCTTGATCAGGGCTGCCAGTGTGAGTGCTGCTGCGCCCCCGCCGGGCAACCGACACCCCCAGACTCAGACCACCCGGCTCTCGGGCCATGAAGGACAAGGACTCCGACTCCCTCCCCCGCCCCGACGGACACCCAGGCTCCTCCGGCCCGCGAGGGCGCTGGGCTGGGGGCAGGGGCGTGAGCCACGAAGGCGAACGTTTAAAGAAATAAACTTGTTAGGGAATGACTGGAACAGCGACATCTCCGTACGTCCCGGCGACGGGCGGCGGCGCTCCGGCCCCAGCCCGTCCCCGCCCTGCGACCCGCACCGACGAAGGGCACCGCGGGCACACGCGCCGCGCCCGCGCTCCCGACCGCAACGCCGAGGCCGCGGGCCGCCCTCCGCAAGGCGAGGGAGAACCCACGGCCGGCCGCCGCCCTCGGGATTCCCGGCCCGAAACTGAGGGAAACCCTCAAGCCCCCCGCCCCTCCGGGAGGGCGCCCTGCGATTGGGCCGCGCGGGTGTCACTCAAGGGCACCGAGTCTAGAAAAGGCGCACGCAGGCGGGCGCGGCGCCCACACGCCGGCCGGCTCCGGTGGGGTCGGCGGTCCGGCCGCGGCCGCCCTCACACGGGTCCATGCGTACGCTCGGCCGTGTCTTCTAAGTTTCATCCCTTGTCCCCCTGCGGCCGGCAGCTCCTCGCAGACCGGCGGCCGCTTACCTGGCCCCGCTCCCACTGCCGCTGTCAGGGGCGAGCGAGCGGCCTCTCGCGACCGTTAAACTCGGAGCGTGCGCGCGCCCAGCGTCTCCCCTGTGATTGGCTGCTCGAAAGGGGGCGGAGACGGCCGAGCGCGGCGCGCGCGTTGACCTCCGGCTTCCCCTTTGCCAAAGAGGGTTGTCTGACGCCAAAGACTAAGGGGGGCGGGGCGTCTGTCAGATCCTCTTCTCTGATTGGCTCTCTGGGAACCTACCGCGGCCACGCGGGAAAGACGCCTCCTGTGCTCGCATGCGCAGTCGGTGAGAATGAGCGTTTGACAGGGGAGGGCAGCGGCAGCCAGGGTACGGCGCATGCGCAGATCCGGGAGCGCGGTTGCGTCTTCGGTCCCGCGGTGATTCGGGGTTCCAGTGGAACACCGGGCGCAGGAGGCCCGTCGTAAGAGCAGGTAAGCGTCCGGCTGCTCGTGACTGCCGCGGGCTCTGGAGCGAGGCCTGGAAGCCGGGAATCCTGAGTTCTTCACGGTTTGCGACGATCAGTTTAGCTGAGGCCCCTGGTCCTGACCCCAGAGCTCAGGGGCTGGGGAGAAGTGGAGCGAGCTAGGCCACGCAGCAGGTGCACAGCGGGGGTCGGCACTTCCCTGGCGTGGCTTTTGAGAACCCGCGTTTCCTCCCGGCCCAGTTAATCTGGAAATTACTCCCGGCTCTTAGACCCCCTGCCCCAGGAGACCCTGACCCCTGGACTGTCCCTCGGGCGGCCACCCGCAGCACCGAGAAGCCGGGACAATGCCCGCTGTCGGTCTCACCCGACCCTCCCTCCAAAGACCCCCATCAGTGTGCGTAAGACCTCAAGCTTAAGTTGAAACCCACTCCCCAGTTGTGTTAATCCCCCAGTCAGTATTGTGCGCATGTGACACCTAGCTAAAATCAAATGATCTGTAAGCACACGACGGTTTTCCGTGACCCCATTACAAGCCCACCCCCCCAAAAAAATTTAGGATTAATTTCAGTAGTCACAAAATCTGCTGGAGACACTGTAGAACCTTTCACTCACAGAATTAAGAAATGTGAATTCCGGAGGCTTCCTAGAGTTATTCACCCTGAAAGGGAATGCTGGTGATTAACCAGCCAAGGGTGCGTGACCATTTTTGGCTACAAAATTGGACGGGCTTTGCTTGGTTTGGGGGTGTCAATTTTTGGTTTTGGCTTTTGGCACCTTGATTCTAGGTTATTTTTCTTTACCCATTAATGTTTTCATAAACCAACGGATTTAAGAACGAGCACTCCGAGTCACGGCGTCAGCTTGTGACGTCACGGATGCAGTCCACGCTTCGGCAGGGCTGCACACGCTCTCATTTCTTACCCAGGTGCAGCTCTTGGTGGGGTCTTAATTTAAAGAAAAAAAAGATTTTGAAGTGGACATTGCCTTCAACCAATAGGACTCAACAGAAGAAATGCCTTTTTCAAAGCTTTATAAACAGCTAAAAAGAGTTTTGAAAGTCAAAAAAATTATTTCTGAATATAGAAAACGGAAGTCGAAGGCTTCACAAATTCCAATTACTTGAGCGTTCACGGGAGGCGAGCCTGTGACGGTCCCTCGGAACACAAATTCCAAGTACTTAGATGTGTTAAGTATGACTTCTGATTAACTAGCACTGGAGATTTTGTACTACTTGAAAAACCCTACAGCCCTGTTCTATGGCTTTTCCTAAGGGCTTGATTAGCATACAGTACAGCATGGAAGGACTCATGTTTCTCCTTTGTCTTGGTGACTTCAGATTTACATCATTTTTTTTTTAAAGATTTTATTTATTTATTTTAGAGGCAGACAGTTACAGAGGGAGGGAGAGACTGTAAGGTCTACCATCCTCTGGTTCACTCTGAATGGCTGCAGTGGCCGGAGCCAGGAGCTTCCGGGTCTCCCACGCGGGTGCAGGGGCCCCAGGACTTGGGCCATCTTCTGCTGCTTTCCCAGGCCACAGCAGAGAGCTGGTCTGGAAGAGGAGCAGCCGGGACCCAGACCAGCTCCCGTATGGGATGCCAGCGCCGCAGGCCGAGGCTCCACCTCCTGCGCCTACAGCACCAGCCCCAACACTTCACATGTGTTATCTTTGCTGTCTTTCGGGATTGTTCTTGCTACATGCACAGTTCCTACAGACACTCACGTCTGACCCAGACTTCTTCCCCGACGGTGGCTCTATCTCAGCGTGAGCCGCTAGGAAGTCAGCGACGCTTCTACTTCACGGTGAACTTGGCTGCTGACTTCATAGACCAGCATTATGACCTCACCAAACAGCATGCCTTCAGCAGCATCATGGTTTTCTCATGCTGCTTTTTTTTTTTAATATTTATTTATTTATTTATTTGACAGGGAGAGTTACAGACAGTGAGAGAGACAGACAGAAAAGTCTTCCTTCTGTTGGTTCACCCCCCAAATGGCTGCTACAGCTGGTGCTGCGCCTATCCAAAGCCAGGAGCCAGGTGCTTCCTCCTGGTCTCCCATGCAGGTGCAGGGCCCAAGCACTTGGGCCTTCCTCTACTGCCTTCCCAGGCCACAGCAGAGAGCTGGACAGGAAGAGGAGCAACTGGGACCAGAACCCAGCGCCCATATGGGAGGCCGGCGCTGCAGGCGGAGGATTAACCCAGTGTGCCACAACGCTGGCCCCTCTCATGCTTCTTAAATTGGAGCATGCCAAGTGCAGTAGTTTGCAGGTCACTGTTCCTGGATGAGATGAGCGTCATGAGACCAGGCCCTGGGAGGTGCTGGTCTCAGCTCTGCAGTTAGGGAGCTGGAGCGTTACCTCCGTGGCCATTTGTATGGTTTTGTTTGCGCCTTGGGGTGTTAGCTCCATTCTACAGAGGCCACATGGCCAAAGTGCTCCGCTGAAACGTGGAGACTAGACATTGGATCCGGGCCTTGCTGACTGCAAAGCTCACACTCTGCAGGGCTTGGCAGGGGTGGGGGTGATGAGAGTAAGAGACGGGTAAGAAAACTGAGCTGACATTGTTTAAGGAAGTGGGAAAGAACTCATCTGGGAGTGGGCATCAGGTTAAGCCACCGCTTGCAATGCCTCCGTATCATATTGGAGTGCCTGGGTCAAGTCCAGACTACTGTTTCCAATCCAGCTTCCTGCTAATGAATCCTGGGGGTGATAGGTCAAGTGCGTGACCCCCTGCCACCCCCATGGGAGGTCTGTATGGGGTTCTGAACTCCCAGCTTCGGCCTGGCTGTTGAGGCATTTGGGAAATGAACCAGAAAGATGTTCTCTTTTTTTCTCTCTGTCTCTTTATCTCTCTGCCTCTGTCTTTCAATTAGATGAAAATAAATAAAAATAATTTAACATTTTTTATAGAAAGACTATATCTAGAGATCTTATGAAAGGGCAGAAAGGATAAATTGTTTCAAATATTGAAAACTCAAGAGGAGTCGTTTTGACATAATCCACATAATGTATCCCATATTTTCTTTACTTGTATCAATAATGTAAGTGAAAGTGCTTTAGAAAAGGATAAGTCCTAAAAAAACCCACATCATTAATCATAATCATAATAATAATATAAGCTTTGAGACTTTTAGGAGAAAGTGTAGTGTTGTCATCGCTGCTGTTACATCTTATTTGAATGGTGTGATTCATAAATTATAAAGTCGCTGTTAGATACTATGAATAGAAGATAATCACAGTGATGCACACTATTAGAGAGGTGTAATTCTCTGTGGATTCCAAGTTTTCCATTGAAAACAAATGAGCAGGTTGTTGAAATTGTGTGAATCGAATACTTTTCTGTGTTTGTGCTTCAACGCTGCAGCATTAAAGTTTTAGATTCAGACCCAGAGTCAGTGTCCCCAGAATCAAAGCTAACAGCTCTGCGTGTCCTGCTCAGTCTATGACGTTTTCCTTGTTTGAGAAATAATTGGCATAGGCCACAGGCGCTTTGTCTGCAGCAGAAACACCCAGCATAGAAAGGACACACGGGTATTTCCAAGCTGACCTTCCCAGTTAGGGGTCCACTTGCAGGGGTGTCTCAGCCCCCTGTGCGGGCCTCTGCACAGGACGCTCCGGATGTGGAGGACCCAGAAAGCCTGCCTGCCTTCCCCCTCCCCCACTTCCTTCCTTCCCCCTCCTCCTTCCTTCCCCCTCCCCCTACCTTCCTTCCCCTTCCCTTCCCTTCTTCAAGATTTATTTATTTGAAAGAGTTAGAGAGGGGGAAGATAAAGAGACCTTCAACGCGCCGGTTCACTCCGCAGAAGCCAGGAGCTCATCCGGGCCTGCCAGGTGGGTGGCAGGGGCCCAAACCCTTGTGCCATCCTCTGCCGCTTCTCCCAGGCCGTTAACGGAGCTGCGGAAATGGAGCAGCTGCAACTTGAGCAGTGCCCGTGTGGGATGTCGGTGTCACGGGTAGCAACTTTACCTGCTGCACCACAACACCAGCCCCGGCTACTTTGTTTTAACTCATTTTCCCAGGAGCACTAAATCATACTTTTGAAATGTGAATTGTTGTTAAGCTTTTCTCAGAAAATCGTTTTGCTCTCGCCTAGCTTCCATCGCCATCAGCTGGCCTTTCTTTCCATCGCCTCCAGTGTAACATGGAGCATTAGCCTGCGAGGCCCATTTGTTAGGACACAGTTTGGATACTGTGGTTACATCTCCTCGTTGGAAAGGGGAGACAAGACTGAATAAGCAGGTAATCAGCTCCCACAAATTCTGGTCTCCACCTCTTAAGCCTGGTAGGAACAAGAAGCAACAGCATTAGAAAGTGTCCCCGCAGCCAGAGAGCGGTAGAGCATCATGCCGTAGGGCGCTGCTTGGTAGATTTTATTTTACCGGAGTCACCTGAGGGTCGTGTTGGAGCGCAGGTTCTCCTTCGGGAGGTCCCGGGTAGGGCCTGCCTGAGACGCGTCCTCCCTAGCAAGCTCTCAAACGGTGGTGGTGGTGGTCCTACCGCTGCTGCTGCCGCCCAGTGCACCGCACACAGAGTCACCAGGCTGCAGCCACGTGGTCCAGTGTGGCCAGTGAGGAGAGGCTGGTCCACACTGAGAGAAGTGTAAATGTAGCCCGGGTTGTGAGGCAGGGAGAGGAGGCAGAGCGCTTGCCTTCCATCTGCTGGCTTCCTCCCACGTGCCCAGATGGCCAGATGGCCAGAGCTGATGCTGAGGTCGGGCAGCTCAATCCAGGGCTCCTCCGCGGGTGGCAGGGGCTCATTATTTGAGCCATCACGGCCTCCTGGCCTCCCGCGGTCTGCATCAGCAGGAAGCTGGAGTCGGTGGAGCCCAGGCACACAGGTGTCTTACCCCTTAGGTTAATGCTCAGTCCTACACCCCATTTTTGAAGACTTCATGAAAAAAGATGAAAATATCTCAATTGTCTCAGCTTCTAGGGCTGGGCCAGGACAAAGCCGGAAACTGGGAACCCAGTCCAGGTCTCCCACGTGGGTAGAAGGGCCTGCTGCCTCCCAGAGTCTACTGTAACAGGAAAATAGCATCAGGAACAGAGCAGGGATTTGAACCCAAGGTACTCCTGTACTCCTGTATGGATGTGGGCATCCTTACAAAAAAAGTTATTATGTATTTATTTGAAAGGCAGAGTTAGAGAGAGAGATCTTCCATCCACTGGTTCACTCAGATGTCCACAGTGACTGGGGCTGGGCCAGGCTTCAGCCAGAAGCCCAGAATTCCATCCCGGCTTCCCATGTGTGTGGCAGGGGCCCAAGGACTTGGGCCATCCTCCACTGCTTTCCCAGGCACATTATCAGAGAGTTGGATCGGAATTGGAGCAGCTGGGACTCAAACCTGTGCCCATATGGGATGCCAGCATTGCAGGTGGCAACTTAAGCTATTGCAACACAACGCTGGCCCCGAATGTGGACATCTTAACTCAAGTCTTAACCTCTAAGTCAAATGCTTGCCCCAGCTTCTTATTTTTAATGTGACTGCTAAGAAGTTTAGAACTTCACACAATGTGACTCACATTCTTACATCTCTGTTGGACAACACTATTTTAGAACATTAACACAATAGATGACATTTTTGGTGTCTTTTTTTCATCTTTTCAGATGACCTAGTTTCTCAGTCCCCTTGCTGCCATGTCACCTGCTCGCTAACTCAGTCAGTGTTGGTTGAGTTCCTTTCTCTGGGTGACATCCTAGCCCTCCCAGCTCTCCTCTCCACCCTCCGTCTCCATTGTTGCTGCCATTGTGCGCCCGGGGCTTCTTGCAGCTGGACCTTTCCTAGGCTGGACTGCTTGTAGAAGCCAGAGCAGCAGATGCGTGCGTGCTGCCTGGAGCCAGTAATGCAGAGGGGCCCTTGAGCAGAATGCAGGTTCCAAGGCTTGCTCACAAGCACCCTGATGATGCGGGGCACATGGGAGTTCAGGAACGGCGCTAGAGCCTCGGGCTGTGGCACCTGTCATGTCAGGGACAGCTGAATTCCCTGCTGCTGGGCAGGCTCCTTGGGCTCCCAGAGGCTCAAGCCTGCTACTCACTAGGTGCCCAAGATCTTCACTGAACAAATTAACATTCCCTTTCTTAAAGTCCTCAGATATCCCTGAACTTGATCAAGTTAGGAGGGGCTCAGACAGTGAAAGGGGCCTGAGGCTCTTTGGTGAGGAAGCCGTCATCCAAGGAACAGCAGAGTGGAGGGGCAGTCAGGCTAGGGAGCCGCCCGCGGTGAAATCCCACACTCACAGAGGGAGACGCAAAGCTGGCGTGACTGCTGGCTTCCCCTGCTGCCACTTCTCTTCATCACCCTCCTTTTTCTCTTTGTGAACGTCACGATGAGCTTTAATCTGAGCTGCCTGTGTGGCTCCCTGGAGACTCTGGTTGCTCTGTGGGTATCACAGAAACTGAAATCCAATGCATATTCTTGTTTGGGCTTTGGGGAAGTGGAACCACGGGTCACTTTTAGCAGTCACTGGAGTAGGGCCAGAGCTCCAGGAGATACTAAAAGTATCTAGAATTGTCGGATTGGCTGCTGGAATGAACTGTTAAACAAAGCGGCCAGGAACTGAACACTGGGGACCTTGAACGCCGGCTGGGCGGAGGCCTCCCAGTGTCTGCCAGCTCTGAACTGGGGCGGGGGTAGAGCTGTGGCCCAGGGGCTGCGACGGGGCAGCCGTGAAAGCGCTTTCCTCCCGGTCCTTTGTCTGCAGTTTCACCTTGTCTCAGACTGGCTTCCTGTCTTGGTCAGCGCACTGTATAGCAGTGCCATCCTGCCTGGTCAGGTTCACTACCCAGCGGAAGAGAGGCACCGATCTAGGGACGAGAAGCTGTCCCTTACACAAAGGAGTTCTGTCCTGTGGATTGAAAACAGAAAGAGAGGGGAATTCTGAATGTTGACTTTGCTCACTGGATCATTCACAGGCAAGCCGATTCTTTGCTGGAAAGATTTCCGAGAAGGTGCCTGGGTTGATGGTTCATCTTTCCTCAAGGGCACTTCGGTATTTCTCGCACCTTAAACAAAGCCAGTCTTTAAAGCACTGCCTTCACCCGTACAGCCTGTACCCCTCACAGCAGTGAGACACCTCGTCCGCTCGTTAACTTGCCCCCACTGGGACTGATGGACATGGTGAACATCACCAGAGAGGTGGGCTGGGGCCGCCTTCGTGGCGTGCTGGGTAGAGCCAAGGCCTGTGACGCTGGCATCCCATGTAAGTGCAGGTTTGAGTCCTGGCCGTTCCACTTCCAACCCATCTTCCTGCTAATGGCCTGGGAGAAGCAGCAGAGGATGGCCTAAGTGCTTGGGTCCCTGCTACCCATGTGGGAGACCAGGAAGAAGCTCCTGGCTCCCGGCTTTGCCCACGGCAGCCATCTGGGGAGTGAACCAGTGGATGGAAGATCTGTCTGTCTCTCCCTCTCTGTATCTCCCCCTCTCTCTGTGTAGCTCTTTCAAATAAATAAATCTTTAAAAAAAGAAGAGGTGGGTGTAGACCATGATGTCAGCCGTGGAGTGACAGCCAGCATTCCCAAAGCCTTGACAACTCTGCTGCGTTGCTGCAGGTATTTTCAAAGTCTCTGAGGGACAAAGGCCGTCGTAGCACCTTTGTAGAGATGCCCTGGTAACCGGCTGCACCGGGGACTAACGTAGAGGTTTGCATTTAAAGTAGCCAGGCAGCTAAGACACCAGTTGGGACCCCTGCACCCCCCATGGGAGTTCCTGGGTCCTATGCAAAGCTCCATCTGCTGATCAAACTTCCTGCCAGCACAGACCTTGGAAGACAGCGCTGGGGTCCCTGCCACCCACAGGGGAGACCTGGATTGAATTTCCCTGCTCCTGGCTTCAACCCTGCCCAGTCCTGGCTGTTGTGGGCATTTAGGGAATCACCCAGCAGATGGCCGTTTCTGTCTCTCTGCCTCTGGAAAAGAAACCAAGTAACCGGAAGTGCACGTGTTTCACAAAAGCAAGGCCTGATGTCCGGTGGTCTCAGTAAGTGGAGCCCACAGGCAGGGCTGGCAGTGGGTGGCAAGGAGAGAGCCTGCTGGGCGTGCGCTCACGCCAAAGCTGCTTCCTGTGCAGGCACCGGGACCGTGGCTGGAGTGCACGCGGTGTCAAAGCCTGTTTCAGGTGTACAGGCCGCCCAGGGCCCCGGGAACGCTGGATAAAGTCACGCACCGTGCACGGTGACGGACTCTTACCAAAGTCAGGCTCAGGCCTCACAGGCACCAGCGTAGCCCCACCCCTTCTGTCTTTGTCAATCACATGTGGGATGGGGGAAGCCGGGAGCAGCAGGCCCAGACTCACCCCGTTCGCAGGGAGAACGTCCAGGTCCTTCTGCCTTTTATCCCTAAAACAAAGGCCTGTGGGACTCCCCAGTCCTCAGGGAATTCTGTCCTGTTCACTGGGTAACACAGTAATCCCCCCTTGGGCCACATCTCGAGAGGTTACTACGGAAAACTGTCATTGTTAAACAACACTTTCTCCTACGGAGCCTGTGAACTCCAGGGAGGCCAGACCCGCTCTCCTCTGTGCCATCCCTGGCTGCGCCTTCCCGGTGTTTGGCACTAACGGGCACCTTGCTAGCAGTCAGCTGGTTTGGGAGTTCTCACCATGAGGGCCGGTTGGATCACGTCGTTGGCAGTGCCGCGGGCCGGCCGGGGGAACAGATGTTCCTATTCAAACCCATGAAACTGGAAACATTAAAAAACAACAATCGTGACATTGATTGATGGTGATGTTTACGGTGTCAGACTGTGTAAGCTCAGCTATACAACACTCATACTGCTGTCTTTACACGCCCATTTCAAAGACTCAAATGCTCAAGCACCATCTGCAGACTGGGGTCCTCCTCCTTGCTCGCTGCCCTGTTAGTATCCTCTGAAAGTCACACTCAGAACCTCTCCTTCCTGAGAAAGCTCCTCCAGGTCTCCGAGCTATTTCTGGCGTGTTGGAAGAACACAGTTATCAGCTGGCAGCTCCTGGGCTGGTGAGAACCCAGAGCGCAAGGCTGCGGGGTGGTTCTTGCTGGGGACTCCGCCTCCTGGTTTCCGGAGTGCCCTGGTAACAGATGGGTCAGCTTTGGAATGCGTCACAAAAAGCTGTTTTCGAACCCGAAGTATAATCCGGAGTGCGAATGCATCTGTCTGAAACGCCGGCCTGCTTTGTCTACTCCAGGTCCAGGCGAGCAGAGCCACTGTCTTTATGAGCACCTCAGGTCTGCTTCATCTTCCCGCACCGCTGACCAGAATATGCACCGTGCCCCGTGGGCTCTGGCTTCGGGAGAAGCTGCCGTTGCTATCCCCGGGGGCGGCGGTCACTGCAGTCCCGACAGCAGGCAAGAGAGAGTGGCCCCCTCTGCCTCCCCTGGATGAGAACGAGCTCCGAGAGCAGTTTGTGAAAGGACATGGCCCAGGCGGCCAAGCAACCAACAAGACCAGCAACTGTGTGGTGCTGAAGCACGTCCCGTCGGGCATCGTGGTGAAGGTAGCGACGGCGACCTCTCTGGGGGCATGGGGTGCGTGGCTGCTGTCTCCCCCCCCCGGGCACCCCAGGGTGCACCCTGCACCCTGAGCCACTGCTCCCCAAGGCAGAAGCTCTGCCCAGCCTCAGAAGCCGCAGACCCTTTGAAGCCAGGGTGTTGCCGCCAGCCTTGAACCTGGCAGACGGCACTGGGGTGTGGCTGTGCCCGCCGAGCGGCGTCTCCGCCAAGCTGAGCAGGGCTGACAGGCAGGCGCCTGGGCAGCACTGTGGTGCAGCCGCGGGCTCCGAGGACCTGAGCAGGCAGCACGCGGGCCCAGCTTGCCTGCCGGTGGGCCAGCGTCCACGCCCCTCTGCCCACTCTTTGGTAAATGTCAGGGACTGCAGGCGGGAAGGTGGCAGCCTGGAAAGCCAAGTGTGCACAGCCTCCTGCAGGCACCTTTCTGCAAGCCGCAGTGAGCTCCCAGGATAGGGAGGTGCTTCCAGCTACTGCCTGGCCTGGGGCAGCAGGCCACTCCTGGGAGGACAAGCAGCGGGGCGGGGTGGACGCGCATGTTCCCAGAGGGCCCCCAGCTGTCCAGAACTGGGCGGGGCAGGCTTGATGCACACGATGGCAGACACTTGCACAGCACGTGAAGATGCAGGCGCTGCCCAGCATCAGGCAGAAGTGGAGGTGAGGCACCCAGGTCCCTGCTCCTCACCCCAGAGCAGACCCAGGTCCCTGCTCCTCACCCAGAGCAGACCCAGGTCCCTGCTCCTCACCCCAGAGGTCAAATGCTGCGACTGTCTAAAATAAAGATGCCATTTGCCTCCTTCGGGTGGAATTCCACACTTAGGAACGGTGCACACAAGCTGGTTGCTACCCTGGCCATGAACTGGATATATTGCTGATGTCTTCATAATTATGTAGACCTTGAAGTTACTTGAAGGCTGTGGTTTTTGTTGTTGTTGTTTGTTTTGTTTTTCAAAAATTTATTTATTTGGGTGGTTCAAGAGCCAGCTGCTCCGCTTCCTATCCAGCTCTCTGCTGTGGCCTGGGAAAGCAGTGGAAGATGGCCCACGTCCTTGGGCCCCGGCACCCACACGGGAGACCAGGACAAAGCTCCTGGCTCCTGATTGGCCCAGTTCCACCCATTGCGGCCATTTGTGGAGTGAACCGGTGGTTGGAAGACCTCTCTCTCTGCCTCTGCCTCTGCCTCTGCCTCTGCCTCTGCCTCTCTGTGGTTCTACCTTTCAAATAAATAAATAAATCTTTAAAAAATTATTTATTTATTTGAAACTCAGAGAGGAAGAGACAAAGAGATCTTCCATCCACCAGCTCATTCCCCAAATGGCCACATGGCCAGGACTGGGCTAGCCAGGAGCCAGGAGCCTCTTCTGGGTCTCCCATGCAGGTGCAGGGGTTCAAGGACTTGGGTCATCTTCCGCTGCTTTCCCAAGCACATTAGCCGGGAGCTGGATCGGAAGTGGAAGAGCCAGGTTTCGAACAGGCACCCTCATAGGATACCGGTGTCGTAGGTGGCAGCTTTACCTGCTGTGCCACAGCGGCGGCCCCAAGGGCTCTTGTTTCTGGACAATAACACCCAACTATAGAGCAAGCACAGGGAAAACTGCATCTACAGCCAGGGTGCAGGGTCGAGGGCCGCAGAGCAGCGGCAGGACGGGTCACTGACACAGGGGACCTCCTGGCCAGCAGCTTTGCCTCTGGGCCTGTCCCCACCTGTCAGGCAAGCACGTGGAGCCTGACAGCTGCCCAGGTCCTATCCGTCCATTTTTCACATTCTGAATGCTGTCTCCCGCAGTGCCATCAGACCAGATCAGTGGATCAGAACAGGAAGCTGGCTCGCAGGATCCTGCAGGAGAAAGTGGACGTCTTCTACCACGGAGAGAACAGTCTGGTTTACAGAGAAAAACAAGAGGCAGAGAGGAGAAAGCAGGAGAGGAAGAGGAGAGCAAAGGAGACCCTGGAGAAGAAGAAGCTGCTGAAAGCACTGTGGGAGTCGAGCAAGGCACCCTGAGGACGTAGCCCGCGGCCGCCAGGAGGCCCAGGAAGTGGGCAGGAGTCCACCGGCCTGAGGACGTAGCCGGCGGCCGCCAGGAGAAGCTGCCAGGAGGCCCAGGAAGCGGCGGGAGTCCACCGCCGGCGCTGTCCCACAGCTTCTGAGTCTTGGACAGATGAAAGTCAGGATGAAGCTGTGGGGGGCAGAGGCGCAGGCTCCAGCAGTAAAACAAGGAAGTTGGAGAAGGGCCCCAGGTTGGCTGACAAAGTCTCTTATTCTTGGTCTGGGCGGTCGTTAAAGGGTCTCCCCGCTCCCCACTTTCCTTTTTATGGAAGAGGCCCCATCCACCAGCTCACACCCCAAAAACCTGCAATGCTCAGGCCACTCAATCTGCTTCCCCCGGGGGGGCCCCCGGAGCCTCCCCACTGCCTCCCAGGGCCTGCGCGGACAGGACGTGGAGTCAGAAGCCACAGCTGGGCCTTGATCCACACTCCAGTGAGGGATGCAGCATCTTAATGGCTAGGAAACACCCCCCACCCCACCTTTTCTTTTTAATACATTTATCTATCTGTTTTATTATTATAAAGAGGTTAGAAATAAAATGTTTTTGAAAAACATGAGTATGAGGCTCATTTTTATGGGGAATGGAGTGAAACATCAAAAGGATTTAGTGGTACCTTGTTGTCCCCAGGAAATTCTCATGGGGAGGCCACTGCCCGGTGACTGACGGCAGTTCCCCAGTGTCAGAACAGGAAACCAGACGGTGCAGGAGTTACAAGTGGGCCACTTGCTCGTGCGCTCCATCCGCTGAATAGACCACTGGTGCCCAGTAACGTCTGATGGCGGAGTACTCATCTTCCCCTCCAGGACTTGCAAATAGACCGAGGAGTGGGGGTTCCAGAACCCGATTTGTCTCTGAATTTGCATCACTCAAGCTGGGTTTGGCCTTACTGGTTGTTTTTTGTTGTTGTTGTTGTTGTTTTCCCAGCTCTAGTTAACAGCTTGGCTTGTTAGCACTAAACAAGCACGGGTACTATGAGGGGACAGGGCCACAGCCATGCTACACAGGACCCCCAGCCCTCAGCAGGCCCACGCTGGACGCCCCCTGTACACAACACCCTCGTCTCTGAGCCTGCCGGGGAGGGCGTCCTGTACCAGTCTCCGTACCTCCTGCTGGCATGCCCGGGACCTGTGGAAGGCTCTGTGTCCGGAGTGGTCCACAAGAAACCAGTCAGGGTGGGAGGGAAATCCAGAACTGTGGACAGAGGAAGGCCTTCTGTGTCTCCCGTCTCGCCTCTGCGGTTTTCCTGCCCTGTGCAGGGAGGTGAAGACGGCCCTCCCAGAACCCAGTCCTAGGCTGGGACCTCGCCCTGTTCCTGCCAAGCGGACGGCATCCCTCCTTCAGCTTGGTCCACCATTCACCAAGGCAAAGCCTCAGGTCAGTGCCGAAAGTCCAGAGGAAGAACCCAAAATCGCTCAGAGCCACCACGCGGATTCTCAGAACAGCCAGTGCGACCAGTTCTCCAGCACCGGAGCAGATGACTTCCAGAGCAACAAAGTGGCTGCCTGGGGTTTCGTGGCCACAGGGAGAGATGGGTGCCAGGAAACACCCAGTGTGAGAGATGGGTGCTTGGGCACCCAGGAAACACCCAGTGAGATGGGTGCTCAGGCACCCAGGAAACACCCAGTGTGAGAGATGGGTTCTCGGGCACCCAGGAAACACCCAGTGTGAGAGATCGGTGCTCGGGCACCCATGTAACACCCAGTGTGAGATGGGTGCTCGGGCACCCAGGAAACAGTGAGAGATGGGTTCTCGGGCACCCAGGAAACACCCAGTGTGAGAGATGGGTGCCCGGGCACCCAGGAAACACCCAGTGTGAGAGATCAGTGCTTGGGTGCCCAGGCACCCGGGAAACACCCAGTGTGAGAGATGGGTGCCCGGGCACCCGGGAAACACCCAGTGTGAGAGATGGGTGCCTGGGCACCCGGGAAACACCCAGTGTGAGAGATCGGTGCTTGGGTGCCCAGGAAACACCCAGTGTGAAAGATGGGTGCCCGGGCGCCCAGGAAACGCACAGTGGATTAAGAACCCCCAGGCTGGCTTGCCTGGCCGCAGCCACTTGGGCGTGGGCGCGCCGTCACCACGGCCGCTTTTATTTTCATCGCTCTCTTTCCTGGCACACGCTCGAGCACTTTCCTTCCCGGGCAGCGTCACACGAGCTGGGCCAGGGAGTCACCTGCGACAGCTGCCCCCAGCCCGTCACTGAGCTGTTGAAGGTGGCACTGAAGACTCCCAGCACACACACCTTCATACAAATTGTTAATCAAAATAAGCTTTATTACATCAAGTAATAAATACATACAAAGATGCAAACAGTTTTCGTCGTGTTCTTCCAGATGTTCTGTCAACGCACAGTGAAGGCTGAACTGAAATCTCCGGCCGGTCGGGCTCTCGGGGTCTGGCAGGTTGCTCTTTCTTCTGTATTTATAACTTGTGTGTTTTTTAGAATTGACTTCAAAGCACTAATAGTCATGCAAATGCAGACGCGAAAAAGAAGTTACACTAAGCAGGATCTACAGGCACAGGGGAGGGGTGCTGTCAGTGCGCACCCTGAGTTGCATCAGCGTAGGAGAGGGACCAGGCGGGCGCGGGGACAGAACTGTGCTCCAGAGAAGGCGCCAGGGGGCGCCAGGGGGCGCCGAGTCTTGGAGGCAAACCACAACTTGCTGAAAGGGAACTCTGCGTGCATCAGTGCTGGGGGGGGTGGGGGGGGGGGAGCTCCGTAAAATCAAATCCTAATGAACTGCAGATCTTCTCAGTCCTTGGGACTGGAGGTTCAGAGCCTGGTGAACCGTGAACCGTGAACCGTGGGAGGAAACCAAACGTGGCCACTGAAAACACGCGTTTCACCTGTGACTGCCCATCTCGCAGGAAGACGGAAAAGCTTCCCAGCTAGCTCCGCGGCTAGGACCGGGCGTTCCGCTCCGTCTCGGCCAGGCACTCCCGCACCAGTCCTCGGGCGTGAATGATGCCTGGAAGAGAAGAGGCGGGGACAGTCCCCAGGAGCCATCCCTGTGCCACCCAGACACAGAACACTGACTAGAAGGGCACTCGGGGACCTACACCCAAACAACCCGTCCTGTCCACGTACCGATTCCCTACCCAAATGCCGCCCACAGCCAGGGGAGCCAGGACCTCCATCCCGGTCCCCCACGCGGGTGGCAGAGACCCAAGTACTTGAGCGGTCACTGCTTGTCCCCAGGGTCCCCATTAGCAGAAAGCGGAGCGGTAGCTAGAGCTGGGTATCAACCCCGAGTCTGATGTGGGAGGTAGGTCCTTGTGCCAGCAGGTCTTGTGTTTTTTGTTGTTGTTTTTTTTAAGGATTTATTTTATTTGAAAAGCAGAATTACAGAGACAGAGAGAGGTCTCCTATCTGGTGGTTCACTCCTAAAATGGCCCAAACGGCTAGAGCCGGGCAGGTCAGGGTCCGCAGCTAGGAGCTTCTCTAGGTCTCCCTCGTGGGTGCAGAAACCCAAGCACGTGGGCCACCTTCTGCTGCCTTCCCACGCAATTAGCAGAGAGCTAGACTGCAAGTGGAACAGCCAGGACTTGAACCAGGGCCCATATGTGATGCCGGCACCACAGTGGCTCTACCTGCTATCCCAGAGTACCGGCCCAGCCAATACAACCATAAACCCCACCCCACTTCTCAGAGCCCCTCTCTCCCAGCCAAAACTCTTTGTCTCCCTAAAACTATCCCTGTATTCAGGGTGGTACCAGCGAGCTCTCGGGACACCCTGTGGAACGAGGGCAACAAAATCAGTCTCCACCCAGGGACTTCAGGCCTGAGCCCACGGAGGCCTCTCTCAGTTCCCCAAAGGGGCTCCCCAGTGCCAAGGAGCCACGGCGACACCCCCAGCCTGCACAGGCGAGGCACCAGTGCTCGGTTCACGGGCCTCCGAGGCGTCCTCCCCCGGGCACATCGGCACCCCTGCCCGGGGTCTCGCCCAGCTCTGATGTGTTGTTTCCTATTCTTCCCGCCTTTGTTTCTGCCTCTGTTGAACTCCATGAGACGCTGACCCACTGACTTCCCCAGTCCCTAGCAGCTAAAACCCAGGAGTCCCCGTCGCCGGTCTTAACAACGTGCGCTCCGGACACTAAGGGGCAGCGGAAATCCTCAGCGTCTCAGACCGCACGGTCCCTCACAAGCACTCGGTTCGTCCTCGTCGGAAGGCAGCCACAGGCCGCTGCCAAGTGACCCAGGAGCTCCTGATTCGTGGACACGGAAGTCTGGAACGCGTGGGGTTTCCACGAGTCACCGTGCTTCCACCACTCAAAACTAAAAAGCCACTCTCGGCCTGGAGTTTGCCAGCCTCTCAGGAGTGTCCCTGACCGCCTCCTCCCTGCTCACCCCCGCTGAGGCGGAAGCTTGCGCAGCCTGCGCTTGGGCAGGGTAAGCTCCGTGCCGCGGGACCAGCAACTTGCCCACGACGTGCCCGGAGCTGGCACCCCGCAGGCCACGCTGACTCTTCTCTCGGGTGGCTGTGGTTCGCCCGTGAGGCTCTGGGGCCCGGCGTCATGCCAGGATCCCCGTCCACGTAACCAGCCCTCCAGTTCCCAGGCCTCTCTTGCTCTGACTTCCCGGCAGCAACCGGGGTTGGGTCAGAGCCAGGCTGAGTATCCTGCCCCAGGCCCTCCCTCTTCAGCCACAGCCTCGGAGGCAACCTTTCTCCAAGCCTGTCCCCAATGTGCTTGGTCAGGCAGCCCCGTCTCCGGGGGGTGGGATCCTCGTTGCCAGCAGCAGCTGTCACCCAGACACGTCCCCAGCCCACGCCCCTGTGACACCACCAGTTTGTAACCAATGTTCCTCTCCTTTGTCTCCCAACTCTCTCCTGATCCTAAACAAGTACAAGGGCCCAGCAAGCTCGGTAGTGCCCCCTCCTAAAGGAGAAATCCCCTACCCCCATAGCCAACAGCACAGCTGATCCCTCACGTTCGGTGAGCCCACCATCCATACCCCGCTCCCAAGCAGGCACGCAGCCTCAGGGTCAGGAAACCCGCGTCCCATCTCAGGCTGCCCGGGGCCAGTCGGCACCCAGCGCCACCTTCTGACTCCAGCTTCCCGATGCAGACTCTAGGGGGCAGCAGAGCTCCTGCACGCACAGGGCAGACCTGGACAGAGCTCCCGGCTCGGACGCGAGCCCAGCCCTGGCTACTGCAGGCATTTTAGGGAGTGAACTAGTGGATGGGAGCCCTCTCTGTCTCTCAAGTGATTTTTTTAGTGTTTTTTTTTTTTTTTTTTTTTTTTTTTTTTTTTAATTCTAAGTGCCCTCCGCTGTCCCCAGGCCATAGGAGAGGCCCACATAGCTCCTTGGCCCACAACCCACAGAGGTCAAGGCCGAGGGCAGTGCAGATGCCGGCCTCCCACCCACCTGTGTCATGACTCCGCCCTAAGGGGGATCCTGCTGCCTGACCTGCTTCTCGCATAGGTGCTGGCCGACAGGAGCCGGGCAGGAAGGAGTCCGAGCCGCAGGGCCTGGGGCTAGCACACTCCGCACCCAGAGCCCCTGGCCAGCAGCAGGTGGGAGAGTGCGGGCTGCCCGTCTCAGAAGATGGGCAAAGATGCCCCTGCAAAGAGGCGTGGCGCCCAAAGCCATTTCCCACTCCCCCGACGGACGCCCGCTGCAGAGTGATCCCGGATCACAAAGGAGCCCCAGTGGGCTCGGGGACCCTTCCCCGCCCCACCCTCCACCTCCATCGTTCTCTCCAGAATCCCCCAGGGTGGGGAAGAGGCGTGGCGGGGGGGGGGGACCGCCGGCTCACCTCGCTTCAGCCGCTCCATGGCGCTCTTGCTGCCCGCGTACGTGGGTCTGATCTCTTTCCCCAGCTCTTCGATGATGGCCAGCAGCTCCGCGTACTTGCTCTGGGGCACCTGGCTGCTCCCGGTTCCCTAGGATCAGAGAGATGTGGGTCCCGACGGACAAACACGAAGCCGACCCCGTGTGGTCAGGACCCCGGTCACACCCTCCTGTCCTGGCATAAGCACACACAGCCAGCAGGCTCCAGAGAGTTCCTTTATCACCCCAGAGGAGAGGGAAAGAACCAGCCCGTCTCCACAAACCACAGCTCAGAGTCCGCCCGCCAGGGCCCACACCTGGGGTCAGCAGGGCCAGGGTGACCAACGACCCCTGGCCAGAGCCTAAAACAAGCTCACTCCGCCCTGCCCAGCCCACACCCACTGGAAACCCTCTTCCTCCAGACCGCACCAGCAGCCCCCACGCAAGCACCCAGATCAGCGGAGCTGGGCTCCCCGCGTGCCCGGGGGCCAAGGCCGCATGTCCAGGCCTCTCCTCCTCCTCCTCCTCCTGGGCCTTTGCTGGCAACCGCATCGAGGCGGCCACCTCGCTCCCCAGGGAGATGGCCTGCGCCTCGCACCGAGGCCAGTTCTGCTCCTCAGCCTCGCACTCCTGCCGCCCAGCCTGGCCTGGCTGCTGGGCCTCGCGGCGTGGCCACCTCCTGGCCTCAAGGCATTTCCACTGCTGCCGGCGGCGCCGGGTCACGGCCAGGGCACCGCGCCGCCACTCTCGGCTGCATTTCTGCCTGTCTCCCTGCCACCGCCACTTTTTCAGTCGGTCCCGCTCCCGGGCCCACGCCGGTGCCTGCTTCTTCTCCTGGGACAGCTCGGTCTGGTGGGGCATGACCACGGCAGGCACGGTGCCGGGGCCACCACCTAGGACCCAGGCAACGGCCTCCATGGTGACCCCGGAGTGCTGGCTGGGGTCAGGTCCAGGGAGAGAACCTTTAGGCTGGGGCCCTCCCCAGGGGCAGTGCATTCCTTGTAGACTGGGGACACCGCTGAAGCGGTAGCTTTCTCCCTGGCCCGATGAAGAAACGGAGACCGAGGCGGGCACTGTGGCATAGTGGATTAAGCCATGGCCTGCAGCGTGGCATCCCATACAGGCGCCAGTTCAAGTCCCGGCTGCTCCACTTCCCATCCAGCTCCCTGCTGTGGCCTAGGAAAGCAGTGGAAGATGGCCCAGGTCCTTGGGCCCCTGCACCTGCATGGGAGACCCAGAATAAGCTCCTGGCTCCTGTTCAGATCAGCCCAGCTCCGGCTGTCGTGGCCACCTGAGGAGTGAACCAGCAGATGGAAGATTCTCTCTCTCTCTCTCTCTGTAGCTCTTTTATATAAATACATCTTTTATCAAGATGAAAAAAAGACAAAAAGCAGCTGAGCCTCTAAGCGGCTGCACGTGGGGGGTCACAGGCTCCTAAGGGTGGAGCCACACGAGAAAGACAGGGACGGGACCCAGGCTCCAACTCTGTGCGCAGACACTGAGAGAGGGCAGGCCCAGGACCCAGAACTGAGCGGACCCAGCCGATAGCCACGCAGTGTGGCGGCCTGTGCCACTGGCCCAAACCAGGCCCCCCACCCCACCCCGGGGCGCTCCCACAGAGCACAACCCTAGTCACTCCTCCCCTTTCTTGCCTCTCCCGCTGGGTCCCCACAGTGCCCTGGCCCCAATGGCATACCTGAGTGTAGCCTAGGGACGGCGGCCCGTAGTCACTCAGCAGCTGGCGGTACTGGGAGGACGTGGCCATGCTGGTGGACGGCGAGTGGACACTCCCAGCTGCAGGGGCAGAGAGCGGTGTCAGCAGTTTGCCTGGCTGTGTCCTGGGCCAGGACTCCGGGTCCCACGACTGCCCCCGCCCACAAGGCCAGCAGGAGTCTACTCACAGGATGGAGAAGCCACCCTCCACCTCCGGTCTGGCGAGGCCCAGAGCCCGGGCCCGGATGACCCAGGGTGGGCCTGCGTCCCAGGGCCCCTCCTCTCCGCTGCTCTCCTCGGGCCCTGTCCCAGCCCCTGATGACCTGAGCCCACCTGCCATTGAGGCTGTGCCCCCAGAGACTGAGTCGGGAGCTAACAGGATTTCATCCCCTGCCGGCTGGGGTTAGGCACATGGGACAAAAAAACAGGCAGCTGGGGACCACGGCCGGCCTCTGCGTGGCCTCACCCATAGAGGGGTCAGGCCTCCTTAGAGTCCACGAGCCGAGAAGAGCGGGTGACCCTGTGACAATCAGGGACGCAGCCTGGGGCCCGGCTCAGCTGCTGGCTCCTGGACACGGGGTGGGGAGACCGGGGCACACACCCCATCATGGCGGCCGAATCACAGACAGCAGTCACCACGGAGAGCTGACCCAGGCCTCCTGGGCAGCGGCCCGCTCGCTACTCCCAGAGCCAAACGCTCTCCCCCTCACGCACACAGTGGGCTCGGCGGAGCTGGCCCCGGGGATGGACAGCTGGTGCCAGGCTGGCCAGCCCGACCAGCTGCTCTCTGGTGTGGGGGAGGGGTGGGGCATGCAGGAGCATGGGCTGCTGGAGAGGGAGGGGCCCCGAGAACTCCAGATCCAAGCCCCCCTGCGCAGAGCCAGACACCTGCCGTGGGCGAGGAGGATACAGGCCGCACGGCCCAGGAGAGCAAGCGTGGGCAGCAGGTGCCCCAGAGGCGCCATCCTGGCCCTGCCCTGGTTTCCCCGAAGAGCCCAGGCTGCAGCTCAAGCATGGGCTGCCGCTACCGGCTCTGAGTCCCGAGCCGGGCGGACCGCTGTGCCACACCAAGCCTGCGGGGGTGAGATGCCTTGCTGCCCACTCCAGCATAGCCAGTGCACAGAGCAGAACGGGGCGGGGTGGGGGGGGCGGCTGCCTCCCAACACCAAATCGCAAGGTCCTGAGCCTCCTGATGCGGCCCAGAGGTGGCTCTGGGTTCCAATCCTGGCCACAACCAGTTGTCACACGTCGCCTGGCTAGGGACGATTGGGGGGCAGCGTCCACGAGGGCCCTGCGCCCTGACGGGAGGGGAGCACCCTCCGGACCCCTCCTGCTCTCCTCTGCTTCTCACCTCCGCTCTGCCACTCTCCCCTCCTGACCCAGAGGCTGTGACGGCAGACAAGGCGCTGCCCCCTCTGGGCCCCACTTCCCCAGCTGTTGGAGGCACTGGTCCCAGTGGGAGGTCTTCGGGCCCTGGGACCCCACTGGTGGGTGGCACTGGGGTCCAGTTTGGGGGGGCTATGGAGGGGGGTGAATAAGAAATCACCCCATCCTGGCTGGGGGGAGTAGGGCCAGGGCTGAGAATGTGGGAGGTGACCGCCACTTGCACACCAAGGCCAGTCCCTGCGCCAGCCTGGGGGGCGGGGGGTGGCCCTGCAGAGAGCTGGCAGAGGGCCCCGAGCTCCACTCGTGCCCACTCCTTCCTGCTGACCCGGGGACAGCCGAGGAGGCCGCGGAGCGCCAGGCTCCACGTCAGCGGTCGGCTCGGAGCATCTCAGACAATGCGCACAGTGTGCAGGGCGCCGGGAGGGGTTGGCAGAGGCCAGGAAGCTCCTGGGGCCGCCCGGCTCCCCACCCCCACGCCAGACAAAGAGCGGCCTGGGGAGCTGGCGGCCTTCCCGCCACTTGGGGCGCTTGGGGGGCTCCGGGGCGGGGAGGCGGGGGCTTTGTCTAACTCCGCCACTGCCACCACCGGCCAGGCCGCAGCTTGGCAACCCGCGCGCAGGAGGCAGGACTGGAGGGCGTGAGGGATGACGACAAGGAAGCCCGAGGAGCGGCGAGAGTCCATCTTGGATGCAAATGGCAGGGGAGAGAGCCAGGCTTCCCGCAAAGGGGTCCACGGGGAGGGGCGGCCCCCACCTGAGCAGCCGGGACTTGGGGACCTCAGCAGTCCTGCCGGGAATTCGCCAAAAAAAGAGGAGACCTGCGCAAGGTGCCAGCCACCCCAGAACAGGGCTGCAGGGTCCCGGGGGTCTCCCTCCCTCCCTGTGACCCCAAGCCCCAAAGGCCCCAGTTTTAGGGCCCCGGCCACCCCCTTCCAGCGCAAGCCCAGGACCCTGCTGGCTCCTGACTGGCAGGCGGCCCCCTACCTTCCCCACCCCAGTGGCACAGGAGGTGGGCTTGGAAAAATCCCACCTGGCAACAAAGCCAGCCTTTGTCAGGCATGGACCCCAGGACCCCTGGCCAGCGGGGCTGGGGCCCATTTGAGCAACTCTATTCTCTCTCTGCACCCCTAATCTTAACCCTTTCCAACCCCCAAATCGGTGCCCAAGAAGTTCTCCCTCCCAGATCTCTCCTGTCTGGGTCCCTCCTGGGATTCTGGAGTTCAGGAGGCCAGCGGCCAGCGTGGCGTCGCTGACCTGCAGAGCCGGCCCCTCCCCCCCTCAACGCCTTGGCCCCTTCTCCCCCAATGCGCCTCGTTTTTTTGAAGGAGGAGGGGGCGCGTCTGTTTCCATCCGAGACTCCGAAGAAGAGGAGCCCTGGGCAGGGCACAAAGCCCGTCACCTGCGACGCCACGACTGTGCGCCCCCTCCCCCGGCTCCGGGTCCCCGGGGCAGGCCCCTGGGCAGAGCCTGGAGCTGCCTGGTAACTTCTGTAGGAGTTGCCCGGCGTCCAGCGCCAGGCCGGCAAGGCGGCGGGAGCCCGCGGCAGGGGGCCTCCGGCACCCAGACCCTGAGCTCCCAGAGTGGGGTCCCGGCGAGCCGCCCTCTCCCTCCTCCCGCAGACCCCCAGGATCCCGCACCCTTCCACAACTTCTGTCTCTGCGCGCACGCCCGAGGAGACATCCTAGAGCCCGGAGGAGCAGCCCCGCTCCCACGAGCCTGGCAGGGGCCCCCCTGCCTACAAGTCTCCCGCCCGCTGGCGACCCCGTCCCGCGCCGGCCGCCCCGCGCCCCCAGGGCCGGCTGCAGCCGGGCACGCGCCTCCCGCACCCTGCCCACGCGGGGCCTGTCGCCGCACCGGGTGGCCCCAGTGCAGGGCGCCCCCCAGCCGGGGCCTGCTCCGCGCTCCCCGGAGCCACCCGGCCCCGCGCCCCGCGCCCCGCGCCCCGCGCCCCGCTCCCGGCGCGGCCCGGCCGCTCCCGACTCCCGCCGGCAGGGGCCCTCGCCGAGCCGCCCAAGAGCGGAGGAAAAAGGAGCCGAGAAAAAGCCTCCCCCGCCCTCGCCCTCGCCCTCGCTCGCCGCGCTCCCCGCGATCCGCGGCCGCCGGCGTGGGGGGCACCCCCGCGGCCCCGGCCCCCGAGGCCCGCCGCGGCGAGGGGCGCACCCGCGAACTTTGGCGGCGGGCGCCGGAATCATGGCGGCGCCGGCTGCCGCCGCGCTGCCCCGGCCGGGACCGGCTGCCCGCCCCCCGCCGCCCCCCGCCGCCGCCGCGCGCGCGCCCCCCGGGATCCCCGGGCCGGGGCCGGGCGCGCGGGCCCCCAACTTGGCGGCACTTGGGGCGCGGCGCGCGCGGCCGGGGCGCTCACTCACCGGCGTTGAGGGCGGCGGCGGGCATGTGCGCGGCCAAGTTCGGTTTGTAAGACATCCCCCCGGGCGGCGGGCGCGCCGGGCGCAGCCGGGCCAGGCCGCGAGGGCGGCGGCGGCGAGGCCGGGCGGCGGCGCGGCGGCCCCGGCGGCCCCGCGCCCGTCCGAGCGCCGGCCGAGCGCCCGCGCACTTTTTGTTGCTGACGGCGCGGGCCGCACCGGCAAATATGGCCGTCCCTCACCCTGACACCGCCGCAGCCGATCACCCGTGCATCGGCGGGCGCAGGGGCGGCCGCAAACTTTGAGCCGAGCCAGCGGCGCCGGCCGGGGCCGGGAGGGGCGGCCCGGCGTCAGGGGGCGGCTCCGCCCCGGCCGCGCCCCGCGCCCCGCGCCGCCGGGAGCGCTCGCGCCCGAACTTGCCAAAGTTTGGGGGGCTGGGGTCCCGGCGTGGCCTCGGCGCCCGCGCGCCCCCCGCGCCCGCAGGCGGCCTCCCGGGCAGCGGCGGCTGCTTCTCCGCCCCGGCCCACCCACCCCCCACCCCGGTTTCCCGGGTGGGATTCCGGAGGTCACTCTGAGTGGGCTTTCTCCCCTCTGGGCGGTGGGGGCAGGGATGGAAAATTACCTGGAGAAAATGGTGGCGAGCCTGGCGCGCTTCGGCTGGCTGTGCCCCGGGGTCGCGCGGCCGGCTCTGCACGTTGATTTCGAATAAATGTCATGTCTGTGTGTCCAGTGGCTTTTAACCCTTTGCGGGCCGGACAGGAGCCGGGACGCCTCCCCCAGGCAAAAGCGCACCCAGGCGCGCGCGCGCGCGCGCACACACACACACACACACACACACAGGCCCGGGTTCTGCGTCCTTAGCTCACTCAGGTGTGTGTGTGGGGGGGCGCCTGCTGGGGCCCAGGCCCGTCCAGGTGCGGTGCACCAAGGAAGGAACTTGGCCAAGTTGCTGCCCCCTGGGGTGTAACCGGCATTTTTGTGACCCTCCTTGGACCCCGCGTGCGATACTATTTGGGTGAGCACCGCCCAAGCCATAGACGCCTTAAACCCTGCGAGGTGCCTGCCATCTCCTGGTTTTTTTCATCGTCAGACCCTCCCCTCTGGGTCAGCTGGCAAAGACCTCACCCTCCCCACCCTAGAGGCGACCCTCACCTGGGCCTAAGGGCGCAGGGAACACGGAACTCCCGGGGTTTGGCCAGCACCCCTGGGCTGAGCCTTAGCCTGGCTCCGGAGGGTGCGGACCAAGCTCAATTAATAAATTCATGCCCATCGCCTCCCCTGCTCCGGTGGAGACAGTGGGAGCCGGGAAGTCCTGCTCAGGGCTCCACCAGCCACCACTCAGGAGGGAGAAAGGAACTGGTGAAATTCATTGTAACTCTTTTATTTATCACCCTAAGTCCAAAAGGGTGAGCTCAATATATAAGGAACAAAACAGAGCTTGATTTGGTTTTGTACAGACTGATTTATTTGAAAGGCAGATTTATTATTGATTTATTTGAAAGCCAGAGCTGAGCCAGGCCAAAGCCAGGAGCCAGAAACACCATCTTGGTCCCCACCGTGGGCGGCAGGGGCCCAGCAACCCAGGCACCACTGCAGGCTTCCAGGGGCGCGTTAGAAGCGAGCTGGATCCACAGCAGAGGAGCCAGGACTTGAACCAGCATCAGTGCCGGCATCCCAGTGGAGGGTGACCCGCTGCACCACACTGCCCACCCCAGAGTGAAATGAGCAGCCCTTATGGTAGCAAGTCTGTGGAAGCCGGTGTCTTGTCTCCCTTGGGCTTGGCCGCATCAGGGCTCCTGAGTACCAAGACACACAGGGCCAGCAGTGAGGCAGCAGGTGGGCTCGGGGTCCCCAGGAGCTGCGCTGGCAGGGTGGTTAGAGTGCAGACCTCCCCTCCAGGAAGGTTCTGAGTGTTTCTATTTCTAGGTGGTTACATTTTTACCACAATCCCAGCCCTCCCTTGATGTCCTGGTCATCACATCACTGAAAAATATTTTTGCCCTTTCTTTTTCAGTACCAGTGAATTTTTTTTAAACTGAGATAAATTAACATTTGTTACTTTATTTTTAATTGAGATGTAATTCAATACATAAATCAAATTTTTCAAAAATAATTTTTGAAAGGCAGTTAATACAGAGAGGCAGGGAGAGACAGAGGTCTTCAGTCTGCTGGTCCACTCCCCAGATGGCCACCACAGACAGGGCTGGGCCAGGCTGAAGCCAGGAGCCACGTGGTGTGCACGGACCCAAGCACTCAGCCATCCTCCGCTGCTTTCCCAGGCGCACTAGCAGGGAGCTGGATCGGAACTGGGGCAGCCAGGGCTTGAAGCAGTGCCCACATGGGATGCTGG